AGTTGTACTTTTTCTTCACCATAGCATTAGACAAGACTCTTCCAGCAGAAATGTTCAGATGGGGAGGCAGGATATAACAGGTACTGTAACAGAATTGTGAAGAATTTTCTCACTGTGAAGAATTTTCAACCTAATTTTCTAATAAGATCTACTCACTCCAGACTGACCTGACTAATGTCATAATATTCTAGCAGCAGGCGAGAAATGCTGCTAAATTCCACTCTGATTTACTAGCTGATGTTCTTGATACATCGGGAGAGCAATGAACTAGATCCTTCTCTAACCTGGTTGATGAAGACCAGTGGAGAATTTGTTTTATTGATGGGGGTTATTAATGTTTCCTTTGAGACAGCAGGGTGGTATTGTTGCTGCCTTTAAACAGGGATCAGGTGTACCTTTGATTAAGAAAAATAATCTCTTGCCACTGCGTACTGAACTCTAATTGCCAAGGCTGTTAATTTTTCCTTTTTGAAAAAGGCTAATGATCAGATGGCTCTGGGACTTCAAGAATTTCCTCAGCAAGCATTTGCTCCCTGTGGGCATTCAGGTGCAGAGTGCTGCAGGGTTCCATTTTGTCATCATCTCTTCTTTTCTGTCTGTCAGTCTGATTAGGTGAGAGTGACAGGCTCTGAGGCCCTGGTTTAAGAGAGTCCTTAAGGCAAGATATGTGGTTCACAAACACAGATTTTTTTTTTTTAGTGCACCAGGGACACACACAGACAACAAATATTTCCAGATACACATGTAGATCTGCCTAGATTTCTTTTGACCTGCTAGATTGTCTCAGAGCGGAAGAAGTGAGCCCACAGTAAAGTCGCACCCACATGTCAACACGTGTGACGTTATGGACATAATCTGGGACCATATAGATCATTGTTGCAACCAGGGTCCTGTAGTGGCACCAAATCTTGTATAAAGGGGGTCAAATGAGGTGTCTAAGACAAGGTTTTGGTTTGCTGGTTATGATTATGCTGTCTATATGTGTGTATCATTTTGTAGCTAAAGTTATGAATATTGGCTCTATACTGTCTGTAATTCAAACTTGTGCTATGCTTTTGGGGAACACGCCAGACAAGTTGGTGTCAGCTCCGCCTAGCCTGCTTGACGGCCCATTAAGGGACTATCAGCTATACAAGTGACCCATTGAGAGAAGGCAGACATGCCTTGCGACTCAGCAAGTTATGCAGGGACATGCCTATGGACAGAACTCTGAGGTTTTTCCATGCCATGTGATGGACAGCTTGTCTTTGGAACAGAGAAAGAAAGACCACATGCAAGAGAATATTAAAAGCTGCTGCAGCTCCTCCATCTTGTCTTCAATCCTGCTTCTTACCTCTGGAGAAACTTTGCTACACTGAAGCTTTGAACCAAGGTATGCAGCAAGGTATGCAGGGACCAAGGACTGAAACACCCATCCCAGCTGTGGATGTACTCCAGAGACTTGATTTGAACCTGCAGTTTATTCTATCACTGCTGAAAGCCTGAACCAAGAACTTTGCCATTACTGTAGGTAATTGATTCCATTTAACCATTCAGGCGCTTATCTATATCTTTTTCCTTGTATGAATAAACCTTTAGATTTTAGATTCTAAAGGATTGGCAACAGCGTGATTTGTGGGTAAGATCTGATTTGTAGATTCACCTGGATCTGGGGCTTGGTCCTTTCGGATCGAGAGAACCTTTTTTTCTTTTAGGGGGGGATTGGTTTTCATAACCATTTGTCCCCATAATGAGTGGCACTGGTGGTGATACTGGACTAGTATCAGGCACTAGTGCAGATACACATTACACTACATTGTATGAGGATAAGCTCATCTTGACTAGTTTCAGAGTCTTGACTAATTACCAAAATTCTTTCCAGAAGTAGTTAGAATCCATTTGATTCCATCAGTCATCTTTCCAATATTATTCTCACACCCATGCACATGTTCCTGTAATACTTTGCTACAAAAATGATATGGTAAAAAATCTTTTAAATGCCATAGGGTACGGTCTTAGAAAATCCATCTAGTTTATCATTTCTTTTGACATGAACTCATCAGGGTAATTTTTATTACATGTATTATGTTAGTACCTAGAAGCCCAAACCAGGATGATGCCCGGGGCCCCATTGTACTAATCACTGTAACAGACAAAGGAAAAGATGATTCCTGCCCCTAAGAGCTTACTGCACCTAATAAAGAAAAGATGCAACAAGTGAATGGCTGTAATAAATCGTTGGAAGGAGTAAGGCAGAATGAGGCAAACAATAAGAAGAGCATATGTTTACGTAGGCCAGATGTGCACAGCTAGATGGTTCTGAGTCAGATAAATTGTATTCTTATAATAAACTGTAAGATATAAATATGATAGATATCAGCAGTCCCTCCTGACCATGTATCTAGATATAATCAGTTGGCAGTTTCCTGTAGACATCTTGGTAGACATGAATCCTGGTGAGGGATTTGTTGGGGACAGGCTAGTGGCTTTACAGATTAATTCAGGGAACATATGAACGGGGAGCCTGGAGGAAAACATAGAGGTGTGAGAGGCGTTGACAAGCAGTGGAGGCTGCCTCTGTTAGTGGAGTGGAGAGAGTGAAAGGTGACACAATAAAATACAAGAGCAGATAAACAGGAGATAAAATTGTGAAGCAACTTAAAAGCATGTTAATTATTATTATAAATATATATAAGTATATTGTATTATTATTTGTTGTTAATGACCTGGATGTAGGAACAGAGAGCATACTGATCAAATTTGCAGGTGACACAAAGCTAGGGAGGTTTGCCTACACTTTGGAGGATAGAGCTAAAATTCAGAGGGATCTTAATAAATTGGAGAACTGGGCTATAGACAACAAAATGAAATTCAACAAAGACAAATTTAAGGTGCTACTTAGGGAAGAAAAACCAAATGCCCAAATATAGAATGTGGGATAACTGCCTTGGCAGCAGCACTGCTGAGAAGGATCCGGGAGTTGTGGTGGATCACAACCTCAGCATGAATCAACAGTGTGATGCTGTTGCAAAAAAAGCAAATGCAGTTTTAGGTTGCATTAACAGAGGCACAGCATGCAAGTCACGGGAGGTGATAGTACTGCTCTACTAGGCGCTGGTTAGGCCTCAACTGGAGTACTGTGTCCAGTTTTGGTCACCAGTGTATAGCAAGGATGAAGAGGAACTGGAAAGGATCCAGAGGTGAGCAACAAAGATGATCAAAGGGATGGAATGCAAACCATATAAGCAAAGGCTGAAGGAACTGGGTATGTTTAGTTTGGAAAAGAGGAGATTAAGGGGGGACATGATAGTGGTCTTCAAATACTTGAAAGGCTGCCATAAAAAAGGTGGAGAAAAGTTGTTCTCTCTTGCTACAGAGGGCAGGGCCAGAGGCAATGGTTCAAACTACAGCATAGCAGATTTAGATTACTTGTCAGGAAAAAATTCCTAACTGTAAAAATGGTAGGACAATGGAACAGACTGTCTACGGCAGTCATGGAAGCTCCTTCACTAGAGGTTTTCAAAAGGAAACTGTATAGCCATGTGTCTTGGGTGGTTTAGACGCAACAAATCCTGCATCTTGGAAGGGGGTTAGACTAGATAACCCTTGTGGTCCCTTCTAACTCTGTGGTTCTATGATTCTAATTGAAAATTTGCCAGAAGGATAGTCTTTGTAAAATGAAGCAACAAACAAGTCAGATATTAGTAGGCCTGCAATCTCTCTAATCATATATTAGGTTTTTTTTTCTGTGGCAGCCATCATCATAGTATCTGAGCACTACCTTCAGATTCATGGTACTGTACATTTCTAGCTTTACACAATGGCATCAAAGTCCCTGTATCAGCCAACAAAACATGATGGAGAAGAATTTAAAAAGGGACTAGTGATTTTTGGTGCCCAAACTCCAGGGACCTGATTTCCAGAAAGTGCAGTGCATACACCCACTGAAAATCAGACCCCTTTACAGTATCTCAAGTTGGGCACCAAAAATCACTAGTCCTTTTTGAAATTCTTAGTCTGTATGATCCTATAGAAAACAAAAGGGGATTTCCTTGTCACATCGCAAAAGCTACTAACATACTCTTGTTTTATTTTTTAAACTTCAGTTAATTTAGTGTTGGTGAAACAGCTGTTATAAATATCCTTTTGAAGGGTAGAATCTGAGAGCATTTAATTTCAGATGGTAAGTATGAACAGCAACTTTGGCTTATGGCTCTGCATCACTATCACCCAAGTGATTGCCAGCTCATGAAGACAAATAATCATGCTTTCCATCTCAGTAAATACACTTAAATATGTGCACTCCTGGATATGTAGGGGTGGGGTAGGTTGTTCTTACTGGGGGTACGGGGGAGGACATGTTTGCTACCAGAAATTAGGATGAGCTCTAGTGTTATTGCTTTTAAGGCCCCTCTCTTTAAGTCGGCCGTCGACCAACAACAAAACAGCATAATGACTTTCTCCTAGTGAGTTTCTCCGAGGAATCAGCAATTAAGTTTGATTCCAATGGGATTAATGATCTAAGATGTAGAAGACTTTTTCAGATAGAAATGAGGTTATTCATATTTTGTATACACTGTCTAGATTGTACAGTGATGGGTGCTTTGCAGATACATATGGCTAGACAGACATTAGGTGAAGACCTGACTCAGGCAAAACTTTCCCTGACTTTGGTGGCAGTTTTGTCAAGTAAAAGACTGCAGGATTTGGCAGGTGTGGTATATGCCCTGCTTACAGGGAAAAAAAAGACAAGTGTTAATTTTCATTGCACTCTTTTATCATTTGATTATATACTATGTTTCCTTTAAATTCAGAGCACTGGGGACACTTATGACTAATTCTCTTTGATCTATCTGATAAGAATGTCCTCTGCAGTTTTCTCTTGACTCTGAATGACAGCGAATTGTGGGCACCATGCCGGTAGGTGTGGCAACGTAGTCATAGCACAAGCCATGTTTGACAGGACATGCGTATGATATTATGCGACATGATGGATTCACAGTCTCTATTTTCAATTGCAGGGAGGAGAGCATTGCTATTACCAGGGCCAAATCCGAGGAAACCCAGAATCATTTGTTGCCTTGTCAACATGCCATGGACTTCAGTAAGTTTCCCCAGGTTATTTTTTTAATGGCCTGTATGTAATTTCTTAAAACAAGTACAAATTCTAGAGTAAAGGAATTACTAATTGTTTTCTTATTGCAGCAAAATGTTAAACATTTTACCCTCCCTCACAAATTATGGGTTGAATTTGTACCTATAAAGAAATCTTGGATTTTTACAAGTAGTTTACAGAGTGCCCGAGTTGGTTTTTATTAAGCACATAGATACACTGGTATTGTGTAATACCATTTTTTCAAGTTAAAACTAACTTACAAATAAATAAGCTAGGGTGAGAGCAACCCAAAATATTCCTTTCCAAAGGGGAAAAAAAAAAAAACCTTTCTAAATGTTACTCTTTAACTATGTCAGAATATGCTTTGCTCTTTCCTGATTACTACAATGAGTAGATGGCATATTTCTCTTCTATTCTGACCCCATTTACAAAACAAAACTGAGACAGTGAAGTGGGGGTTTTCAAGTCATTTTTCTTTTCTTTCACAGAGGCACTGATCTTAGATATTTACCTGCTGATTGGTACTTAACATATATGGCAATATATTTGTAAATCTGAAGGAAGGGAGTGGCTCTTAGATGGCAAATTGAAAACTTTGCATGATTTTAACCATATTTTGTACTTAATAGCACCTTCCATTTGAGGATCTCAAACAGCTATACAAAAATCCCACATAGCCCCTCTGAGGGTTTGTATCATAGTTTTGGACTGGTTCAAAAAGATTCCTGGCCTGATTTTCAGAGGTACTAAGTAACTGCAGCTTCAGGGGACTTCACTGGGAATTACAGGCTCTCCCCTGATATTGAGGTCAGACATTGCTTGAAGGATCATGTGATGAATGGTAAAAAGATAGGAGCACTCAACAATTACCTTATGCTTCTCTTTTTAACTCCTGCTTCACTGAAAGGCAGGCACGTATCTGATGGGGATTTTCATTGATTCGATCCTTTTCCTTCTCCAATAGTTCTGTAAATTCTGTATCAGACTTCCATATTTTCTGTTAGTTTCTTTTAGTTAAATTTGTTGGGTTTTGTTTTTATTTTAGCATCACTGCAGTCTTCTGTCTGATTATTTGTACCATAATGCTTTTATCTCCTTTGTAATCAAGATTTAGGAGTGAGGACTAACCCAAGAAATCTGACTTCAGGTTCTGTGCTGAAGGTGAATCTAAAAATAGTAGCATTTTAGTGCATTCTGCAGAGATTTAACAGCATGACTTCCATTAGTTGTGATCCATTAGGTCTTGGATTATAGTCTGTGACCCCTGTTAACTTTCAGGGGCTTAGGGAAAAAGGGAAAAAGAGACTAAAAAAATTCCTTTCTGGCCTTTATTTGGTGCTTCGTTCTTCAGGATGAAACCCTCTCACTATATTCTCTCAGTGCTTAATTATCAGTGTTGGTATCTTCTAAAGCAGCTACACAACTAGAGTGATAAAGAGTTGTTATCTTTTCCTTTTTTGTTCAGCCCTCTTAGGTACATCTCTTTTTTCCTTTTAGGGAGGAATCTTCAAATACCTATATACGTATATCAGCAACAAAGATCAATAGATTCCTATTTCACATTAGGGACAGTTTGAAACAATATAAGAGGTTGGAGTGTTCCAGGACCCTGTATGAGAATGCAGTGTTTCCTTAATAAGTCATGTTAAACTCAGGTGCGACACTGCATCATCATCATCATCTGTATAATCTTTTAAATAGTGCTTTTCATGTGTAGACCTCAAATACTGAATAAGTACTGCTGATTCACGATGGCATTTAATTTCATTAACTCCAACCAGGATCTGGAGTATTTCTCTGGAGCAGAGGAAACTGGGGGCTATTACCATCTAATAAAGTCTGTAGGGCTGGTTCTATGGTGAACTTTATGGGTTGTAACAGCTGGAGAAGATGCCTCTAAAGGAGCAATAAGCTCCATGTTCTCCATATCCAGGCAAGTATTAATTCAAGCCTTTTCCTCTGCTTAATACATCCTCCAGGTCCCAGCCTATAACAGCTATATTATTGGTGGGTGGGTGTAGATCAGGTGCCAAGGTTGATGCCAGAATTGTTTATTTAACTTTATCTTGTGATTTTTTTAGCTATTAACGCCTGCATTCTTTTTAGGGATGTCTATCTCTCGTTCAGTAAATTAATAAGGTAGTGGGTTCAATGGTGGAATCCTCATAACTCTTAATTTTCTTTCTTTTTGGTAGTTGCGTTGAAGAGACAATATACTTCTGTGGCCTTAACTCCTAATTAGCCAAGTTTTTATTTGGGATGTCCAGTAGCCACAGTCTACAGTGGGTTAATGCAGAGATTCAAACAAAAATATAACATTTTGAAAAAAGCCACACTCATTATTAGGATTTCTAGTGTCCACGTTTCTTCTTAAATTTAGCTCTTGGGTTCATGTTCCTTACAGAAGAATATAGAAATAAATGCAAAATAACTTGCCATTTTCATTTTGTTTTCTTCATTGCAGTCAAGTGATGTAAACATATCTATTACCTGTTGGGAATGTTGGAGTATAGGAATACAGTATTGAATCTCTTTCAAAGAATATGCTTAATTATATATTCTTATTAATCTGTATTTTAATGCATTTTCTATTACAATACAGGCTCCTTGGAAGAGAACCATGTATTCCTTTGTGTATTGTATAGCATAAAGTACACTGATTCTTAATAATGGATGATAGATTATTGAGTAATGATCTCTTCTAATGTAATAGCATTTAAAACATTCAAATATGTTCTTAGGCCATGATCCTGCAAGCTCCTTCACACAGGAAGACTCCTTCCTCGCCCCAATTGAAATTAGCATGTGGGTACAGGGTGCATCATACATAGGAGCTTATAGGACAGTGGTGTCAGTTTGAGAATTATAGAAATATTTTTTGGAAATGAAGGGCCTTATCAGAATAGCTATAGACATGCTATAGTAAGGCTTAATTTAAAATAAGAGTTTGAAGGCCTGTAACATAGATAGATATGTTTTCTTGTTGGACCATGAATATGCTGCCCACTGGTGGTGAAATTAAAAGTCTTGATATTTTAAGATCAAATTGATTTACAAGATGTTTATTGTTACAATATGTTTGGGTATAGTTTTGACATAGTAAAGATTCAGATTTCAAAAATGGTCTGTATTCTATGACTACTTTGGATCTAACTTTTTTATTAGTGTATGATTCAAATATATGGACTGCTTAAGTTGAAGTCTATTGCAAAACATCCATTGACTTAAGTCAGATCAGGTTTGTAGTTTGACTGTAAATATGTTATTACCATGTACCATTATTAAAGAGTGGATTGATCAAATTCTGACTTGATCAAAGGTCCATGCTGCTGGGTGAAATGATCAAATAGGAGGCCCTTTATTCTGAGAATGTGAATTAAGTCCTCAAATGCTGATACACTGATCAATCCTGCAGACTTTACTCATGTAAAATTGCCATTGATAGCAAAGCAAGTTTTGCATACTTAAAATCTGCAGGATGAGTCCCAAATCTCATTTTATTCTTAGAATGAGGGCCTTCATCAGGCTCTAGGATTTTTATTTTAAACATCATAGAACAAGTTAATTTCCACAAAATATTTACAGGTTATCTGCAAAGGGATGGAATAGCTTTGAATTAAATATGTATTTATAACCACTGCTAATATGAGTTATATATTAACTATATTATATTATATATATCCATAATTACTTCGGTGGAGCTGTAAATACACAACATTTAGGAAAATATTAGATAGGTTTATATAAAGCTGTAATGGTTTAAAAGTTTAATATGTAGTTGTGGTCCCAAAAAACCCCAACAGAGTAAAATTATATCATTTTACTCAATACAGCTGCTCCCTGGGTATAGTCAAGGTCAGATCTGATTTTAGTGAAAAAAATGCAAAAATTAATTATAAAAATGTTTTAAAAATCAATGTCATATTTGACTCGCATAAGCCAAAAGCCAATATCGATTTCTGTCACTTAAAGAATGAAATGTGGTGGGTTGCTTTTTTTCCCCCCCCCTCTCAAACTTTGCAAAAAAAATAAAAATAAAAAATCTTGCTCCCTTGTTGAGGTTGTGCAGTATATATCAAGTCTGAGCCTACAGCTCATATTTATAGCTAGTCTTAAAAACCTTGAAAGAAGCACTTTAGAAAGGAAATGCTGACACAACTTAATCTCAACAACACACACATGCTGCTGTAATAAAGAAAAAATTGCAAGAAAAGGCTGACTTAGATAAAGATGAAAAGGGAAGTGGGGTAGGAAATGTACCTCTTTAGTATACTGCCAATTAACATTTTCCATATCAGATCATTTTATTTTAGGGTGAAATTCACTGGTGTGCGTAAATCTGGTGCAAGGCTTAAGCTTAAACCCCATTTAAACTCAAAATAGGATTTAAATTGGATTTCAAGTGGTGTATAGGCCTTGTGTGAGTGCACAGTGGGGAATTTCACCACTGCTGTGTATTTACTTATAAACAGTAATGCACAACCATGTAATTTAATTACCATAGGCTATCTACATTCACTTAGGATCCCTTAAAGCTTGAGCCTATCCTGTGGTTAGAACTGAACCATGTGCCACCTTTGTTAGCTTGGAAAATTGGTGATTGTTCACATGAGAGCAATTACAGAAGCAGATTTTCCAGCATGTACAACAAGCATGTATATAGTTGGCGCCCTTAAAATTCCTCTTCCATTTGGAAGATTTTACTTGTGTGAGAGCTGTTCCCTGGACGTATAATGAGGAATACCACAAGAGCTAGTGAAAGCTTTCCATCTGCTAGAATACATACTGTATGAAAGGGTAACATAGCATGGGAGACTGGCTCTGGCAGTTCATGGAATATTTCTGATGATGTTGTTTTATATAAAACCTATTTGTGTCTTTTCCAAAAACAATTTAATAAAGGACTTAAATTGATGTGTGAGAAAAAAATTGTTATTCTTGATTTTTTTTTTCAGTTTGTTTACCTTGTTTTGTTTACCTCCAAAGTGTTCCCATTATGCTGGGTCTTGTAGGAGCAGGCAGGCAGACAGACTTATGGTACCAAAAAGCTTAAAATCCAAGAGTCAGCTCAGTTTAATACTTTATTTTGGCATGACAAGCTATACATATGTTCCCAGAGTATGTAAAGAGACCTCTTAAGTATCTGTCAGAAGTAGGAACAATCTGTTCCAGGGAGTGGGGTTCACACTAGGTTTGGGAACTGGGTCAGTCAGTCAGTTTCTGCTGCTCTTTCTGTCTAGCTCTTTATCACTACAACAAGGAAGAGGAAAAACATTTTTTTTAAAAGGATAAGTTGGTTGTAAAATCACAAAAATTGGCACGAGGACTTAGAAACTGGGATAATACCTGAAATTGCTTTTAATTTTGTTTTTAATGGTTATATTTCAAGTTCATAGCCTCCCCTTCACGGGTTACCTGTTTAAATTGTTTTAATCTTTTAATAAATGTTTGGTAAATCTCTACTCAATGTTACCACTTTTCCTGCCTTTAACAGTGGGATGTTCTATGATGGGAATCATACTTATCTTATTGAACCAGAAGAAAACCATACTTCACACGTAAGTAGAACTTCAGCTAATCCAGTATTCAGATACACAAGGGAGGCAGAAAACAAAAGAAGCCTTATGCTCAGCCTTGCACCTCTAGTGTTGGGGCTGGTCACAGTGGGAGTCCTTGTCCTCCCACTCTCAGCAGCTAGTTCATATATTGCTCTAAAGATGCAAACCAAAGGCAGTATATTGCATCTAGTATTTGAGTTCCCAGTATCTAAATACAGTATCAGGAAAACAGGAGGAGGTTTACAGAAGTTTTCCTCCAATAATGCATGTCTTAGCTACCCCTTGGTAGCTTCTTTAAAACAACCTCTTGGTCATTTGCCAGTACTGAAAATCAGTTAAAACAATATATATATATATACATATCCATTTGCATTTCATATCATTTAACTTTAGAAAATTTAGACCCCAATCCAGCAAAACATTTAAGCATGTGCTTAACTTTAAGCATGTGATTAGGTCTGTTCACTTTAAAGGACCTACTTGTATATTAAATGTGAAATACAGGTTTAAGTGCTTTGCTGAATCAGGGCCTTAATGATCACATCATAATTGGGAGAGGAAGAGAAGAATCTACAATGTGTATAAAGTTCTTTGAGGTTTGATAACCTCCAGTGTTCCATTATTTCCCCAACATACTGGTTTGGTACCTAATGCAAAAGGGTTTCTTTCTCCCTAATATTCACGGGATGGTTCATTTTATCTTGGCTTAATGCATGCCACTGTTTACTATTTCAGGAGGATTTCCATTTCCACTCTGTTTACAAATCCAGGTTATTTGAATTTCCTTTGGATGACCTGCCATATGGTATGATGTTTTTAATGCTCTCTTCTTTTAACTTGTGTCTTATTTTGCCAAACTTGTGTATCATATTCGGTTGCTAATATTCTTTGGAGTTTTACTCCTTTGTTTGCTTGAATCTGTCTTTTTCTGTTTAAGTAAAAAAACATAAAAACATAAAAAAACATGGGGGAGGAGTAGGGGAGAAGAAACCTAACAATTAACTCAAACCTCACCTCAACCTTTATATTGTTGATTTTTTTAATAAACTTTGAAGAATTGAATGCTTTATATGCCATTACACATGCAATATGTACTTTACATAAAAGGTCATGGCAACCTAAAGGTTGATCAAAATAATCCCCTAGTTACCAAGGATTGATGAACATCAGTGGCCTCCCCCACTGTGAGATATAGGAATGGTCTACTAGTCTGAGTGTAGGAGTAGGAAACTGGATTTTTCAAGTTTTATCCTAGTTCTGACTCTTAACATTTCTGCTTCAGTCTTTCCATCTTAAATTACATTGGGGTGGCATATCCCCATTTTGTCAAGGGTTTATCAGTTTGGAAATGTAGTTTCCTACATATATAGCTTATTCTGGAGGAATGAGACCTGTACTAAACTGCTGATTTCTTCAAGACAATTACAGATGTCTAGTTTATAATATGGTAGCACTGAGGACTGGGGCTGTGTTGCACTGAATATGGAATATGAGACCTAATAAGGAAATTCACGTTGTGTGGGATGCACTCTGGAGGATGTCTTCTGAAAGAGACAGAGGTAGTGTGACTACTGAGTCGGCAGCTTCTCTCTCGAAATGGGTTAGTAAAGGATGAAATCTTTTGGAACTAGAATTGTGTGTCTTGTAGGCAAAGGACTTTATCACTGGTGAAACGTTATGTTTTCACAGACTTTTGGAGAAAAAAATAAATGTAATTTTGAATTTTTTATGACTATGAAAAACATTTTTTCTGCAATCAGATATCTATCATTTCACCTTCGCAAAAACCCTTTGACCTTCAAAGTGTGTCAAACTTTCTTTGCAAAAATTGAGACTTTCCATCTGGGGCAGTTTCAGAAAACTCTGTGTTGGCTGAGATGGGGAAATGTTGCCATATAATCAAATTGTGGAATACTAATGAAAATAACTTAAGTATATGACTACTAACAAAGTGGAGAAACTGCATATGACACTAATCTTGTGCAGCTGCTTGGTAGGATCCCATACATGAATAGGTTAATTATAACTAGCGAGTTTCATAACAACATGTTATAGGCTTTGTGGATCCCATTGACGGCTCACTCTGTGATCACTAAACCTGTCCTCAGTTTCAGGTTTGTCATGAAAGTTTTAGCAGCTGCAGCAGATTTTATACTAATGAAAAACTAATGTTTCATTATTTCCATGAGCTGTTTATTTAGGTTTCCTTTGCCTTTCGTCTTTAGTTTTATTTTAAGAGTATGTGTAGTTCCCATTGTGTGATATACATATGCTGAGTGGAGATATAAATAACTTAACATGAAATCCTGTTCCCACTGAAGTCAATGGCAAAACTCCCATTGACTTGAAAGGGGCCAGGATTTCACTCTGGATCTTCAGGGATATATATGGTATCATAACTGGGAGTAGTGGCTTTACAGTGCTTAAACTTTTCTGTCTGTTTCCTTTAACAGATATGATATATTTGCAATTGCTAGCTTGTAGTATTTTTGGTTTTTACTTTTTTATTTACTGCAGCAGGACTATTTTGCTAATCCTGTCCTATAAGACTGTTGTTATAACAAAATGCGCTTTACCCTGTACTTTATATTGCCAATATTTCTCTTCTTCTTTATCCCCCCACCTTGTTTGTGGACTTACATGCCTTCAGAAACTTCTAATTTGATTCAAGAATTATTTGTTCTTATCCTTAGTAGGCTCTGTGCATAATTTAAGATTTCCTGTCAGTGCTGCATTATGAATGTACTTTGATGTACCACAAGTCTTTTACATTGATGGTGGATTAACAGACTGGGGTGACTTCCTATCAGTATTAACCAAAGCAAATGGTATGATATCTCATCAGTAGCAACATAGCTTTTTATATTCTTCTGTTCCATGGGAATTAAAAAATATTATTAGAGAATAAATTATACTCCTCCGTGTGATGGCCAGCAGATACACCGTTTTATGTTATGCACCTGTCAAATGTCACTGACTGTGGAGGATTAGGACTTTGAAGAGAGAAATCCAGGGCTCTTCAAGAGGCTGGCGATTCAGTAGGTGGTACTTTTTCCTCAGAGTCCATACTAAATCAGTCAGTGCTCTGGCATGATGATAGCAGACACTATGCCCTTGGAGGTGCTGTTTTTCAGATGAGACAAAGTAGATGTCATGATCTTCAGTGGCCATAAAAGTTTTCATAGAACTTTTTCAAAGTAGGAGTTATCAAATTCCAAGTTGGTTTGTTACATCCCTATTTCTATTTCAATTTCTTTTGTGATTTCAATTGGTCATGGTACTCTTCCTGAGATACTTTGGGATGGGAAAGCACTACAGCATGTTCTCGTTTTGTTACATCCCTATTTCTATTTCAATTTCTTTTGTGATTTCAATTGGTCATGGTACTCTTCCTGAGATACTTTGGGATGGGAAAGCACTACAGCATGTTCTCGTCATTATCATTCACTTGTAAAATGTTGTGAAGTATTACTGTGTGCTGTTACAAAGCTGCTACATTCCACCCCAGATATGGCTTCATTTTTATGGTAGGTGAAATGATCCTTAAATAGTTTGTAAATTATTAAAGTAGTCTGAGATGCTATATAAATGTAAGATATTTTATTTCACCGACTAAAAAGTTGTAATTTTACCATTTGACTTCTGGCAGCCCTACAGATCCTTAAATCAAAAGTTAAGAGTTGGTGGCATGACACCAAAACATGGATTGGATCTACAATATAAGTATAGGTAGGATATATAAATGCACTCACAGAAAACAGACAAGTAACAGTAAATTTGAAAGTGGTTCGTGTTGATTCGTTGTGAGATCTGGGTAGTGGCCATCAGGGATAACAGAAGCCCCGGTTAGCTGACCCTGGCTGTGATTGAATTAGTTTGATCATCTTCCTATTATTCTCTCATTGAAGACCATGTTTCACTTAGCATTTCAGTTGCTGTACTGCAGCAAAATGTCTTCAAAAGTATTCACATTTTCTATTCTATAAGAAGAACTGTAAGAATATGCAGAACATATGTGGAATACAGACTGAGGACCCGACCCTGCAAACCCTTATGCAGGTGAATAACTTCACTCAGATGAGTAATACCATTTTTTTCAAATGTTTCATGAGTGAAGTTATTCACATGCATAAATTTTTGCAGGATTGGATCTTAAGTGAGTACCAGATATTGTCTGATGAGAAAGTTTATAAGTAGAGCTGGGCAACAATTTTTGGGATGAATAGTTAATTCGCCAAAAATGCAGTTTCGTGAACAGAAAGTACTCATGATTTTGGGTCAGATTTGGCAAATAATTTCGCCCAGGAAGAAAAGAACATTTTTAAAAAGTCTAAATGGATTTATTTTTTGTTTAAAAAGCAAAAAACTGAAACAACAACAACAGAAAGCAATTTCATTCTGGATTGAACAAAATTTATTTTTTGACTTAAAAAAATATTCAGTTTTACATTTCAGTGAGAAAAAATGAAAAAATTTGATTCTGGTTGTCCTGGGGAAAAAAATCATTTCGGATTTTTTTGTTTGGGCCATCGAACCAAAAAATCAGTTATTCACTCAGCTCTAACAATAAGTATAACATCTGTGACTGTGCTTTGCTCATACCCCACTATGGGAGATGAGCTCTTATGATATGTATTTTCATTAGAAACTCTTGATTACTACAACCTGATGTCCTATAGCTAGATGTAGTTCAGTAAAACATGCAGGTCCACTTTGAGTTTTAGGTCTTAGCAGCCATTGCCATCCTTTCACTTTCTGAATCTGCATTGTTGTTTTATGCTGGTGTTTGGATCATGTGTACAAATGCAGTTCTTGGTATAAAGTATATGCAGTATGAGCAGAAGTGGAGATGTTGGAAATGTTTATAACCAAATGTGAACGCAGGTGGTTTGGGATTTCCTTACAAAATCAAACCTTGAGTGGAAAGATATGTGAGTTGGAAGTGCCTAATTTTGCACAGCCCTCTTCACTGGCTTTGCAAAAATTACTCTGGAATACGGAAAACAGTTCTCAGCCCTTCATGATTAGTACCTCCAAAAGGTAAAGAAAGAGCAGAGAAGGGAAATTAGAATATTAAAGAGGATATGATATAAAATGAGAGAGATTGCTGGAACTTTCATGTAGTCTCACTGAAAGGTGATTAAACAGATATGCAAAAACTATAAAAATGCGAGAGCTGATAATACAAGTGAAGGAAAGGGACTTCTGTCTGCAGTAGACACCGTTGAAACAAGGAATAAGAATCTAGAACTAAAGAGGGAAAAGTTCAGGTTGGATATTAAAAATGGTGAGGTCCTTGTGTTTTGTTTAGCTTATACTGTACCTATCACTGGGGTTTATGAGCACCTAGTAAAATGGGATTTGGCAAAAGAATAAACTTCTCAGTGCTCATGATTAGAAGTTTTAAAAAATTAAAGACCTAGTGGGATTAGTGTGGGGTAATATCATACTGACAGTGGGGATTCTAAACACCCCAAAAGGTCTCTCCCAACTCTAATATGTATTATACCCTGTGAATACTGTACCTTAAACCATAAATTAACACAAAGAGAAATCAAATTGAATTAATGTAGCCATTGCAAGTGTGGCTGTTTCCTGCATTCCAGAAAATATGATTCAGTTTATGGTAGCACCATACGAATAATATTCACCACACAGTATTTGGTGAAATTTAGTCTTTGAACATCAGTTACACCTTCTGAGGATGTAGTCCACAGAATGGCTATATTAGCAGACCTGCATTATTAATAGCAGAATTTTTATAATTTCTTTATTGTTAAGATAAGTAGCTGTAATGTTGCCTCCTTTCTAGAAGAAGAATTGAAAAATGAAATCATTATCAGATCTAATTCACAGAAAATGAAAATATCCATATTTTGTTCATGCTGCCCCAAGGTTATGGAGTGAAGTGATATATATTTGATAAAAGTGATGTATTTGTCTTTGTTTTCCACTTAGAATTCTGGCAAATGAATACCACGTCACAGAAGTTTGTTCTAAAGCCAAGACACAAAAGGAGTAAAAGGCAGGTATGTGCCCGTACAATTTCTAAAGAATGTGCCACCAGACTTGGTTTGCAGCTAATAAAGGAATCTCTCCAGATGAAGTCCTATTGCTCATACTGTTTTAGCATGAGACCTACATAAATAAATAAAAACAGTTGCAAAGGCAGTATCTAACATCTGGGTAACATTGCTGGAACCTGCTGAAGAAATCCCTTCTTAGGCGCTACGCATCTGTGTTGTATCATGCAACCACGAGCTACTGGAAACGCAATTTCAAGAGAACGAACAGACATCCCAAATCATTTTGATGTTGTCATGCTTTGCCATGCCTTTTCCTCTTGCAAACTTTAGCTCCATTTATTCTGTCATTTCTGGATTGTCAAACTGCAACATCTGGGGATTATGATGTTGTTGTTACCTCTAGAATGAAATGATCTTTGTTCTTTAATTGAAGTTAGAAATACTGTACCAATTTGAAATATAGTGTTTGGTTCCTTAATTGAAAAGAAAATTGCATTTAACAGAGTAGCTGCAAGTCATGTAGTTATATGAAAGAAAAGCAGAACTAAAAGCAGCAGTAAAATTTACTATTATAAACTGAAAGCACCATTCTTGTTTATTATTATGAGAGGTCATTAATTGTGTACATTTATTTTAAGTATGAAAATATAATATAGATCCTGTATATTTGGGATTAGTGTTATGACCAGGTTAAAAACCAACTTTTTATTCCACAAGATTCACTAAAAGTTCAGATTTTTAATGTGCTCTGAGTAGATACTCCTTGTAGCTTTTATTTTAAAAAAAGTAAATCTCCCATAGCACAATGAGCCATGTAAAATATATATGCCACTTTTTAAATTTGTTCTGATAACACAGATACGCACTTAGTGGAGCGCAGTCAGAGGTTATGGTAAGGCAGATATAACACTCTTCGGAGTTTGCAAAAGTTCCTTGTTTCTGATTTTAGACCTGGGCATTGCACAGAGATGCTGCTGGTCTGTTGGTGATGGACAAACCTAATGTGTCTGTATTGCGTTTTACATCTGTCAGTATCTCTGACATCACTGATTATGAAGACTATGTCTACACACCAATTAAATATGCACAGCTGGCCCAGATCAGCTGACTTGGGCTTGTGGAGCTCAGGCTGTAGGTTTTCCACCACTGCTCTATTTACTGCTTAAGTGCAAATTAAGCAGAGCACACAGATCTGTTTGCCAACCTCAATTTGGAACAAAAAGAAAAGTTGTACTAGTGGCACCTTAGAGACTAACCAATTTATTTGAGCACAAGCTTTCGTGAGCTACTCCGATGAAGTGAGCTGTAGCTCACGAAAGCTTATGCTCAAATAAATTGGTTAGTCTCTAAGGTGCCACAAGTACTCCTTTTCTTTTTGCGAATACAGACTAACACGGCTGTTACTCTGAAACCTGTCAATTTGGAACATGTGTTAAGAACACCAGGCAGTGGAATTTTATAAAACTTCACATACAATGTTGCCACACATATTTTATCAGAACAATATTGATCAGCTTTATGAAATCTAATCTTAAACATAAAGACACAAGAAGTAAGGTTGACATATGACCAGGGAAGATATAAAATATTGCTAGATGTAGGAATGTTATCAGGAGCCAAACACCTGGAGCTGCAGCTAGCCAGAGATGTCAAGAGTAACAAGAAGGGTTTTTCAGGTATGTTACAGAAGAACCAAGGAATGTGTGGCCCCTTACTGAATGAGGGAGGAAACTAGTGACAGAGGATGTGAAAGCTAATGTACTCAATCTTTTTTTGCCTCTGTTTTCACTAACAAGTCAGCTCCCAGACTCTACCTGGGCATCACAAAATGGGGAAGAGATGGCAGCCCTCTGTGGAGATAGAGGTGGTTAGGGACTTTTAGAAAAGCTGAGTCACAAGTCCATGGGGGGAGAGTTCATCCGAGAGTCTGAAGGAACTGCGGCTGTGATTGCAGAGCATTCCATTATCTTTGAAAACTGTGCGAAGAAGTCCCGGATGACTGGAAAAAGGCTAATGTAGTGCCAATCTTTAAAAAAGGGAAGAAGGAGGATCCTGGGAACTACAGCCAGTCAGCCTCACTTCAGTCCCTGGAAAAATCATGGAGCAGTCCTCAAAGAATCAATCCTGAACACTTGCATGAGAGGAAAGTGATCAGGAACACCACATGGATTCACCAAGGAAGATGCCTGACTAATCTAATCCCTTCTATGATGAGATTACTGGTTCTGTGGATGAAGGGAAACAATGGATGTATTGTTTCTTGACTTTAGCAAGCTTTTGACACAGTCTCCCACAGTATTCTTGTCAGCAAGTTGAGGAAGTATGGGCTGGATGAATGCACTACAAGGTGGGTAGAATGCTAGATTGTGGCTCAACGGGTAGTGATCAATGCTCCATGTCTAGTTGGAGGGTATCAGTGGAGGCCCCAAGGGCGGTCCTGGGCGTTTTGTTCAATATCTTCATAAATGATCTGGAGGATGGTGTGGATTGCACTCTCAGCAAATTTCGGATGATACTAAACTGGGAGGAGTGGTAGATACACTGGAGGGGAGGGATAGGATACAGAAGGACCTAGACAAATTGGAGGATTGGGCCAAAGAAATCTGATGAGGTTCAATAAGGATAAGTGAGGGTCCTGCACTTAGGACGGAAGAACCCAATGCACACTACAGACTAGGGACCGAATGGCTAGGCAGCAGTTCTGGGAAAAGGACCTAGGGGTGACAGGGACGAGAGCTGGATATGAGTCACAGTGTGCCCTTGTTGCCAAGAAGCCAATGGCATTTTGGGATGTATAAGTAGGGGATACGAGCAGATCGAGGGACGGATCGTTCCCTCTATTCGACATTGGTGAGGCCTCATCTGGAGTACTGTGTCCAGTTTTGGGCCCCACACTTCAAGAAGGATGTGGATAATTTGGAGAGAGTCCAGCGAAGGGCAACAAAATGATTAGGGGTCTGGAACATATGAGTTATGAGGAGAGGCTGAGGGAGCTGGGATTGTTTAGCCTGCAGAAGAGAAGAATGAGGGGGGATTTGATAGCTGTTTTCAACTACCTGAAAGGGGGTTCCAAAGAGGATGGCTCTAGACTGTTCTCAATGGTATCAGATGACAGAACGAGGAGTAATGGTCTCAAGTTACAGTGGGGGAGGTTTAGATTGGATATTAGGAAAAACTTTTTCACTATGAGGGTGGTGAAACACTGAATCGTTACTAGGAGGTGGTGAATCCCCTCTTTCAAAGTTTTTTTTAGGCCCCGCCACAACACCCCCGGGGGGGAGATTTTTAAGGGGATTGTGCTCCTTTTGAGAGGGGGTTGGACTAGATGACCTTCTGGGGTCCCTTCCAACCCTTATATTCTATGATTCTATGATTCTATGATCACCAAATTATGAGTTTTCGAATGGTACCTTAGAAGACATACACTGTACAAAGATTATTACTATAATGTGTAGGTTTGGACAAAGGGGTACATTCTGTCACAGAGTGAGAAGGTGCAAGCAGCAGAAGAGGAAGATGATTTCAGCAGCAGCTGTTCGGAGAGAGATGAGAAGTGGGGAGACCAGTGAGGAGAAGGTGGCATTACATGACCTTTTATGAGCACTAAATTCACTTAGAAATATATACTCGTATTGATACTCTGCTATCATGATTATCTCCATGAGTATGATACATGCACAAACACATCCCAGAAAAGAAGCAGGTATTGAATGAAAAACAAGACTAAACGGCTCAAATAAAATTTAAGCGCATATTCACTGCCATGAAAAAAAACAGGCAAATAAAAAAAAATGGGTCACATAAATAACTTTTGTGAAATTCACTTTATATCAAATAGTGCTAGAGGGATTGTCTGACTTTTCACAAACAAGAAGTAGTTGCTCAAGATTTACAGCAAGAATAATAACATAATTCTGCTCGGAAGAACAGGGAAAATAAAGGCATCATTTAGAAACGTGGCTGTGAACAGGGTTGAAAGTAAGTTAGAGGACTTACTGCTACGCCGAAGTCCTGAGCAGGGCGGGTGGCCTCAACCGGAAGAGGCATGGCCTCAACCGGAAGAGGCAGGGCCTTAAATCCGTGGGCCCTTTAAATCTTGATTTAAAGGGCCAGGGGCTCCAGCTGCGGTAGTGGCGGCTGGGAGCCTGGGGCCCTTTAAATCACCCCTGAGCTACCAGCTGCGGAGGCGGCTGGGAGCCCCGGGGCTCGGGGGCAATTTAAAGGGCTCAGGGCTCCAACTGCCACTACTGCAGTGAAGCCCCAGGCTCTTTAAATCACTGAGGAGCCCTGGGGGCTCCTGGCTGCCACCACTACCCCGGGGCTCTGGAAGAGCTTTAAAGGGCCTGGGGCTCCACTGTGGTAGCGGCTGCCGGAGCCCGGAGCCCTTTAAATCCCCGCCTGAGCCCTGCTGCCCGAGCCCTGGGGTAGCGGCGGCTGGGCTCCGTCGGGAATTTAAAGGGCCCTGGGGCTCCAGCTGCTGCTACCACTCCAGCCCTTTAAATCCCCTCCGGAGGCCCGCCGCCACTACCCCAGGGCTCGGGCAGCAGGGCTCCGGCGGGGATTTAAAGGCCGGGGTGGTAGCAGCGGCTGGAGCTCCAGGGCCCTTTAAATCCCTGCCAGAGCCCCACCACTGCTACCCCAGCACTCGGACAGCAGGGCTCAGGTGGGGATTTAAAGGGCCCCGGGGCGGTAGCGGAGCCTGGTGCTCTGGGGCCCTTTAAATCCCCGCCAGAGCCCCGCTGCCGCTACCCCAGGGCTTCGGCAGCAGGGCTCAGGTGGAGATTTAAAGGGCTTGTGGCTCCGGCAACCGCTACCGCCCCAGCCCTTTAAATCCCCTCCAGAGCGCCACCCCTACCCTAGAGCTTCGGCAGCAGGGCTCCGGCGCAGATTTAAAGGGCCGGGGCGGTAGTGGTGGCTGGAGCTCCGGGGCCCTTTAAATCCCCACCAGAGCCCTGCCGCCGCTACCTCAGGGCTTTAAATTGCCCTCTGGGAAAGCCGGTCCCGGTACAGCACACCGGCTCTTACTGGTACACCGTACCAGGGCGTACCGGCTTACTCTGGCTGTGAACATCTGTAAACTGGAAGGAAATGTGACACTTAATTGACTGTGTATTAATGATAGTTGATTGATTTAGAATTTGAATAAGCAGTACAGCCCTTACAAAAAGGCTTTTTGGGGAAAAATAGTTAATTGTGCCATTCTGAGAGTTTGTAGCAATTCTGTGAGTTTACAATTGGTACCAAAAAAGTTTTTAAAGATGTAGACACTGTTTAGGCTCTCTCTCAGAAATCTAGGGTTCTTTTAGAAAGTTCTAAGTTTATTTTGTAGGATTTACACCTATTTTGGAGGGAACGGGGGCAGAGGACACACTACATTTTATATACATTTATTATATAATTTTCCTGTTGACCCTCCAACAATAATCTGCTGACCAGATGTGGAGTTAAAAGATTGTCCCTATTTATAGCTTGGAAACACAGACAGATCTGACATACATACAAATATACAATCGTTTTTTAATAGTGCTACAATCAGTATAAATTTAAAATGGTGGAAGGATGGCAGCATTCATAATAAATGAGAACACAGGGAGATGAATTAATATAAATCATAGAAGATTAAGGTTGGAAGAGACCTCAGGAGGTCATCTAGTTCAACCCCCTGCTCAAAGCAGGACCAACCCCAACTAAATCATCCTAGCCAGGGCTTTGTCAAGCTAGGCCTTAAAAACCTCTAAGGATGCAGATTCCAGCACCTGCCTAAGTAACCCATTTCAGTGCTTCACCACCCTCCAAGGGGAATAGTTTTTCCTAATATCTAACTTCGACCTACCCCACTGCAACTTGAGACCATTGCTTCTTGTTCTGTCATCTGCCACCACTGAGATCAGCCAAGTTCCATCCTCTTTGGAACCCCCCCCTTCAGGCAGTTGAAGGCTGCTGTCAAATCCCCCCCCTCACTCTTCCCTTCTGCAAACTAAATAAGCCCAGTTTCCTCAGCCTCTCCTCACAAGACATGTGCCCCAGCCCCCTAATCATTTTCATTGCCCTCTGCTGGACTCTCTCCAATTTTTGCACATCCTTTCTGTAGTGGAGGGCCCAAAAGCGCAATACTCCAGATGTGGTCTCGCCAATGCCGAATAGAGGGGAATAATCAGTTCCCTTGATCTGGTGGCAATGCTCCATCTGATGCAGCCCAATATGCCATTAGCCTTCTTGGCAACAAGGGCACACTCTTGACTCGAATCCAGCTTCTCATCCACTATAATCCCCAGGTCCTTTTCTGCAGAATTGCCGCTTAGCCCGTCACAGGACTGGCTCTAGGGACCAGCAAAGCACGTGCTTGGGGTGGCACAATTCCAGGGGTGGCATTCCGATCACCATTTTTAATTTTTTTTATTTTTGCTTGGGCAGTTGTGCTCTCGGAGCTTGGGGAGGCAAATTGTTTGCTTGGGGCGGAAAAAATCCTAGAGCCAGCCCTGGCCAGTCAGTCCCCAGCCTGTAGCAGTGTATGGGATTCTTCCGTCCTAAGTGCAGGAGTCTGCACTTGTCCTTGTTGAACCTCATCAGATTTCTTTTGTCCCAATCCTCCAATTTGTCTAGGTCACTCTGAACCCTATCCCAACCCTCCAGCATATCTACTTCTCCGCCCAGCTTAGTGTTATCCGCGAACTTGCTGGGGGTGCAATGCATTCCATCACCCAGATCATTAATGAAGATGTTGAACAAAACCGGCTTGATACCGGCTGCCAACTAGACATTAAGCTGTTGATCACTACCCTTTGAGCCCAATGATCTAACCAGCTTTCTATCCACCTCATAGTCCATTCATCCAGTTCATACTTCTTTAACTTGCCGGAAAGAATACTGTGGGAGACCGTATCAAAACTTTTCCCTTGTTGATGTGGCAAATTAAGATTCATTTCCAGTTGCCCTTTAAACAGCTATTGTTTGTTAATCTTTTTGCAGGTTCATCAGATTTCACGTAAAGTTGAGGAGGAAACAAAATACATTGAGTTAATGATTGTGAATGATCATCTAATGGTAAGACTTGCATACTTTGCTATTTGAAATACATCAATAATTTATTATTGTCTTACCTGCCTTCAAGGCATAAACAATAAAGTACACCAATGATCTTATTAATACAGTTTATGTCCTAAAGACTGAGGGGCTGATTCTGATCTCACTTATATCATTGTGTGATTCCAGTAGAGTTACTCCTGATTTTCACCAGCATAACTGAGAACGGAATTAGACCTAAAAAATGTTCAGAACAAGAATTTGACACAGAGTGACCTGCTGTATATCTGACTCCAAACTGATGGTACATAATATTTACCTATAATAACTAAACAATCTATAATGTTAGTCTGCAGTTTACTAGTGACTGTGTGCAGAATCATTGGTTTTTTTTTTAATGAGAATGCATCTCACTTACTTTGTTACGGTACTAAAGGGCTCTTTAACCTAGTGGAGAGAGGCATAACAAGAATCAACAGTTGGAAGTTAAACCAGATAAATTCAAATTAGAAATAAGGCACAATTTTTTAACTGTGATGGTCATTAACCATTGGAAAAAATTACTAAGAGGAGTTGTGGATCCTCCATCTCTTAAAGTCTTTAAATCAATACTGACTGCATTTCTGGAAGCTATTGGTTAGCCAAATGCAAATGATAGGGTCAATACAGGAGTAACTAAATGAAATTCTATGGCATATGTTATATAGCAGATCAGATTAGATGATCTGGCCTTAAAATCTATAGATCTATAGTTGTTCTGCTTCCCTAGGGTTTTTTCAATTATGAACAGCTTCTCTTAAGCAATGTCCACATTTGCAAAGATACCGTCAAGTTCTAGAAGGAATACACGGCCATCCTTAAATAATTTAAATAACAGAGCTTTATTCCTTTGACCCCTGTATTGGGTGAGCATAGCAATAATGTCGAGGGTGACAGTGATTTCTATTTCACAACAGAAGATGGTAGTTGGTGTTCAGAATTTTCTTTATTATAGTGGTTGTGTTTGAGCCAGAAGAGCAGGCATCATTGCCTGCTACATGATATACCCATTTGAACACAGCTGTTTCCTGTTTAAACTTTTGCACATTAATTTTCTTGTTGGTTAAAAACATTTGGTAAAATGTCTGTTAATTGAATAAACACCGTGATTATTTCATTTTCCTACACTATGAACCTGGGTACATATTAGAAAGATGTATTCATTATATTTTAGGCAGTATACTTTATGTTAATCCTCTTGCATTTACAACACTGTCTGAACTCTGAGCACCTAGTATCTTTTTAGGGATCACACATTATGTTGCTGAATGTCCAAACAATTAGAATTAGATAATATGCTAACGTATATATCTGTTTAACTGACCTTCTTCCTTTTTTTGCTGAGGCCACAAACAGCAGCGCCTTATAATTGCTGAATTCCTGCCCAGCTGAGTATGTACTGTTATGCCATGTCGATGCTACAGCGCTGCAGCTATGCTGCTGTAGGCTGTAGTGTAGGTCACTAGGCCAACAGAAGTATTCTTCTGGTGACCTGGCCATGACTACATTGGGGCTTAGGTCGGCATAGCTACAGCTTTTTTCACATCCCTGAGCGATGCAGCTACGTTGATAGAACTTTTAAGTGTAGACCAGACCTTGGTGATTTCACAGACATGATAAATCAGTGTTGGAATCTGTCTGTTCAGGGTAAGCAAGCTGTTCCCAGGGCTCATTGACTCTGAAGTACTTCTTGCTTAATATTCTCATTTTATATCCTATAGAATATAAACTGTGACTATAGAACTTGGACAGAACCATCAAATACTGCAGAATTCTAAATGGATGTAACTTTACCCACAGGCAGTTTCCTAGCTCTTACTCTAATCTGTGATCGATGTATCTTATGGTAGCTGGAAAGAAACTGTCATATACACTGTCTGGTCATTTAGACCCAAACTTTGCCTTACTGTAAATTTTGTATTGCCTGGTAATGCATAAAAATTCACATTGTTTGTTAATTTCTCTATGATGGAGAGATGGATTTAAATTAAAAACAAAACAAAACAAAAAACCCCAATACAATTTCCCCTGTTAGGCAATCATCTAAAAACAAAGAGTGAGTGATCAGTGCTGAATCTTCAGCAGCAGTTACTTCTAGAGATGTGCTCAAGTAACTGGGTTACAAACTAGGAAGTAAACCAAATGTCTCCATGAGAAATTTTGGTTGGAAAATATCAGTGTTTGCTCTAAAGAACAAAAATGGTCTGAAAATACATTTTGTTTCCTGTCTTTTACTATTGATTCTGAATAATTAGCATGTATATAGAATATTTCATCTGTAGATCTTGAAGCCTTTGTACATGTGGGTAAGCATCGTTATCTTAATTTCAAAGATATGTAAATGGAGGTATGGGGAGATTCAGGGCCTGATTTTCAGAATGGGCTAAGCATTGTCAGAGCCACTTATTTCTGTTGAACTTGTGGAAGCTCAGCAATCCTTGAAAATGAAACTTTATGTGATTTGCGTAAGGTCACACAGTAAATCAGTGGCAGAGCTGAGACCAGAACCCTGGACCACTGCCCTATCCTCTTCTCTAAGAAGATATTGTAAACAGTGATGAATTAAAAACAAAAGTGAAAATGTAGATAACAGCGTCCAGTGTCTTTGAAAAACTTCTCAAAACATAACTGAAAATAATGTTTAAATAACTACTATATTTGAGAGAGAAGATGGGTGAGGTAATAGCTTTTATTGGACCAACTTCTGTTGGTGGAAGAAACGAGCTTCTGATCTTACACAGAAGTTGGTCCAATAAAAAATATTACCTCACCCACCGTGTCTCTCTTATATCCTTGGACCAACATGGCTACAACAACACTGCAAACAATAAGGGAAGATACAATTTTTGTAATATTTCTGCATGTCCAGTGCATGGTAACAAATTAGTTTTAGCTGAGGTAAAATATTTCTTTTAAAAAGCTCTTCTGTAGTGCAACTACCAGTACTGAGAATATTTTGGGGGTTTAGTTTTTGTAAAGGGTTTTTTAAAATATTCTAAATTCAGATCAAATAACTTTAAAAATGCAATATAAGGCCACAGCCCTGCAAAGATATACCCAGTTTTTGCCTCCTGCCTCACAGCAGGAGAAGGGTAACCTTGTGAACCCTCTGAGCTTGAGGAGTAATTGGGAAAAGGGGCCTGCAGTAGGAGAAGCTGGCTATGGCCCAATAGCTGGCCTAAGTTACAACCTCAGTTCCAAGGAGAAAAGCTTGGGAGGACTCTCAGCTTAAGGAGAGAAAGAGGGACTACCTAAATTACAACCCCATGACTTCTTCCTTTCCAACATCTGTCTTGTTCCAATTGTTGGATGCCTTAAAAAAAGAGAGAGCTGGTCTTCCTGCAGTTGTTCCTGGACCCCCCCATATGCAGATTTGGAAGGGTAAATGTCCCACAGTGATTTGTTTATGCCCTGCTGTTCAGATTCCCTCCTTGAGAGGAGGAGGCCTCACAGCCAATTTCTGGTACCCTGTGTCATGGTGAACTGCCTTCAGAGTATCCCCTTGTGGTCCTAAAAGTGCATTGCTCACAGCACCCACTTGGTCTGTTCCAGTCAATTACACAGACCAGATTAGGTCAAAGCCCTTATCCCCTTTGTAGGTTTATTAACTCTTTTTGCAGAGTGAAACTCATTTCTTTAGTAGCTCAAGTTCATGCCCACTCTGGGTCTGTATCAAAGTCCTAGTAGGTTTTTCTTCCCCCTGTTTACAAGGCCCCTCAGCCTCCTTCCTGGAGCTGGAGTTGTACTTCAGATGGTCATTCTCTCTTAGGATTGTTCTGGAATCTCCAGCAACTGAAGATTAATCTTTAGTTAAAGATTATGTCATGTGATGAAGCCTCCAGGAATACGTTCAACCAAAATTGGCAACCCTACTCTCTCTCAAGTTAGGAGTCTCTCGCTCTCTAGCTCTCTTGGAGTTGGGTTTCTTTAATGAACTTTCTAAACATTAATTAATGAATCTTCACAACACCATTGTGAGGCAGATAGGTAATATGAGTATCTGAACAATTTGCTAGACACAATTTTTTAACATTCCAGTCAGTGAAAAAGATAAGCAGCTTGAGCACAGCTTCTGCTGTTGATAGATTCATCTTTTGATTTATGTTTTTCAGTCAAAATTATTTTTCAGAAATATATTTCTAACTGGTCTGTGTTTGTTTTTCAGTGTAAAAAACATAGATTATCAGTTGGCCATACGAACAGCTATGCTAAATCAGTGGTGAACATGGCAGATTTAGTAAGTATTGCTCAACTAAATGCTTTTCTAAATGTGTCGTGAACCATGTGGTTGTAGTGCCGATAACTGTAGGAAATGTTATTTCACAGATATACATGATATTAATTTATGTGAAGATTGCAGATATTTATTTAGCTCCCAGTACAGCAAGGTACTTAAGCATGTGTCTAACTTTAGATAATTCCTGTGACTTCACATGCTCAAGTACCTTGCTGGATTGAGGCCTGAATGAGTTTTTAAAGCACATCTTATTCAGAAAACTACCCAGAAAGGGTAATGTATTAACTACAGCTGCAACCAGGAAGGGGTCTAAAACTATAGTGCACTAAAATATATGGAGAAATTGTATGTTTTATTCAACCTTTAATAAATTCGAGTTCATCCTATTTTATATGGGGCAGGGGAATATAGGTAGTTGTTGGGGCAATAAATCACACAACAGATGGCTACTGTATCCAGAAACATTTCCAGGATTTGCAAATGAAAAATAGTATTGCCACCATTGAAATCCTTTGGTCTGGGACACCAGGGTTCCCCCGATAAGTCACTCAGTCTGAAGATAGGCACTGCTGAAGAATTCTGTAACAGTGGAAGTGGTCATGTCTCCCTGATACCGATACCTGTTGCATATATCTGTTGAGGAGTATAGAGCCCTGTTGTGTAAGTAAGATATGTTGGACACTGTAAAATACAGATAAACCCTGATTTTTCTGAACCTAAATCTTTGAGTTATCCAGAATTCTTATGTGGTCCTTTAGAGATTTGTATCAAATCTCTCAGTTTATTCTTACAAAGGTTTTAGAGTCCCAGAGACCTTTGCAAGGCTCAGATCCTGCCAGGAGCTCTTTGCTGGTGGACCCTTGTGGTCATGCAGAACTGCTTACTGGGGTGTGACCTTAAATCTGGATTTTATCTGTACAACTTCCTGTTTAAAAAAGAAAGTTGATGAGCCTCAGGGAACAAAATGTTCATTATTACAGATGTAAGTTGTTACAAAAAAAGGGAAAAGAAGCAACTATATTCTATATGATATAATAAATTTGTTCATTTTGTTAATGTACTAGATATATAAAGAACAACTTAACACCAGGATAGTATTGGTTGCCATGGAAACCTGGGCTACTGATAACAAGTTCACCATATCTGAAAACCCATTGGTGACTCTGCGTGAGTTTATGAAATATAGGAGAGATTTTATCAGAGAGAAAAGTGATGCAGTTCACCTTTTTTCGTACGTAACTTCGTATGCCATTTTATTACTATTTTTTCATTCCATGGGGAGTGCTTTATTATTAGTGGCCGAAACCTTTCCTTTCTATGGTGTTATGCAGTGTACAGTAATCTTGACAATAGTGCGTAGGGACCGGGAGGCGGGAGGGAGGTTAGAACAATGTAACTAATCATGTAACTAAACGTTACTCTCATGCTAGTTTCAATATATTAAACACAAGCTGCATGTGCTGTGAACTCCTGTTGTCTTGTGTAATTACCTGCCAACACAGCTGCCCTTATGGATAGTGCATGGTACTGTGTTGCAATAGAATACTGACAGTGGGCCACTCACATCATTCATTTATAGCAGAACATTGAAACCAATATGGAGCTCTGTTTAAAAGCCAATTTGGCACAATATGTGCCAGTAGATATTCAGTGCCTTGCATACTGCAGGATTACTGAGGTTCTCTGTTCCCTCAAAATACTTTGTTCTCAAAAGACAAGTGCACCATAAGGATCATAAAATGAGTATCATTACTGGGAGGAATGTTTCTGTTCTTCCCTAATTCTCTGAATTGTTTTGGTAGGTTTTATTACATCAATCACACTAACGGAAAAGAGAAAAGGGTGGTCTCTTCGTGAGAGACTGGATTGGGGCTCAGTTCCCTGCTTTGCCACAGACTTTTTGTGTGACCTTCATCAAGTCACTTAGGGCCCAATCCCATAGACATTTAGGTACGTGCTAAATTAGTCCATCTGACTTTACATGAGTAAAGTTAAGAATGGTATTTGTAGGATCAGGTTTTTAATCTTTCTGTGCCTCTGTTCACCAGCTGTATAACTGGGGTAAAATACTTTATTTTCCCCACCCTTTGTCTTGTCTGTTCAGATTGTAAGCTCTTTGGGGCAGGGTCTGTCTCTTACTGTGTGGCTGTAGAACACTTTATTCAGTGTGGCCCTGATCTTGGTTGGAGCCTCTACGTGCTACTATAATACAAATAATAATAATTAATAATAACAACATCTAAGAACATTACATTCCTAGATCATCTAGAAATAGCAGCTCCTACAATTACGTCTTTTTAGAAGGGATACAAACAGTGGAATTGAGGGATTGAGCTGTATGGTTGTATGGTGACCCCGTCTGGCCTTGGAATCTGTGAATCTATGAATCCCCCTGTTCATCCCTTTCTGTCATGGCCAAGGGAAACAGGTTTGCCTGCACAGCACTCAGCATGCTCCCATCTGCAGCTTTAAGGAAATCTCATGCCTCAGGGCTTCAGCCAGTCATCTGCAGAGGCCAGGAAGGATTTTTTTTCCCTTGGCACATAATTGGCCCAATGTATTGTGGGTTGGTTTTGTTTTTTTCCACCTTCCTCTGACGAATCAGTGGTCAGCCACAGCTGAAGACGGGACACCAGACAGGATGCACCAGTGCTCTGAGGGGATTCAAAGAATCCTCTTTGCAAGTGATGCCTGGCTGGTGTGTCTTGCTCATATACTTAGGGTCTAACTAAAGTGATTGGGCTTAATATAGGGGTATTTGGTTAAAATTTAATACAGGTGGTCAGATTGTGTGATGTAATGGCTCCTTCTGGCCTTAAACTTTATGAAAATATGAAACTATTTTATAGGGGAGTTTCTCCCTCAAAGAATTTGCCTGTGCATGAGAACAGATGTTATTCCTCCTTAGTGTGTTTTGGGAAAGGTTTCCTTGAAAGAATTGTGAAAGTTTCTTTGGTTTTCACAGCTCTCTGTTCTGTTTGTGTGCAGTGAACAGCACAGTAATTGCAACTGGCATTTGGAAATAAGAGAGGTAAATAGAGGGATTGGCTAACGTAAGAAGTAAACTTTCTCATTTTGTTTTGTTTTTTAAAGGGGGAGTCAATTTCAGAGCAGTCGGAGTGGTGCAGCCTACATTGGTGGAATTTGTTCACTATTGAAAGGTGGAGGTGTGAATGAAGTAGGTGTGAATATTCATACTAGCACAAATTGATATGGTAGCCACAGTGTCTGTGTCCACACAAGCATTTTTCTCAAAATGTCCCCTTATTGCATGATCAATACGGAACATTAATACAGTCCCACAAAATAAAGTTCAAATTAGAGGATAATGCTAAAAGGCAAACGGAATAAGGTTGGGGTTGGGTTCGGTTGCATTTCCAAACGAGAGTCTGCAGCTTTCTCTCCTTCACACTTGAACCTACTCTGGTAAGAAAAAAATCTTACCTGGCCTATTCTTAAGAGTGTGGTTTGTCTTCCTTGCTGATCCATTATCCAGCCGCAGTTAAATGAGTCTTCACTGAAGTAAGAGCCATAAAACTGTTGATCTGCTTTTGCCTTAAAAAAATCTTATTTTAAAACGTACAAAAGGTGTGTTTATGTTTTCAGTTTCTTCTGTCAAAATGATTATTGTTCCCATCCTGTTTTGTTTCTTTCAGTATGGAAAGTCAGACTTTCTTGCAGTGACATTGGCGCAGTCGTTAGGCCACAATCTTGGCATTTTCTCAGATAAAAGAAAACTACTAACTGGTAAGTTTATGTTTGCTTGTTTGTTTTTTCTTCTTTCAAGTGAAAGGGGAGGAGTTTCCTCCTGATTCTATTGGAAAATAAGAAATGAAAAGCAAGAATTTTTTTCTAAGATTGTCAAGATTGCATAGTTATGTGTGTGGTTTTATGGAAGAAAGTTTGGCCAATATGTACACAAAAATTTGAGACCTGTGCATAGTGAAAAAAGTAAATGTTTCTTTCTATATTGTATTTGGAGGAAATTAGGAATATAGGTTTTCAGTGTTCTTTTTAATATGAGAAACATAATATATGTTATGCAGAGATTTTAAAATTGTCAGACTCAAAGTATGAATTTTAATTTTGTTGTTGTTGTTAGGTGAGTGTAAGTGTGAGGACACATGGTCTGGATGTATAATGGGAGACACTGGGTAAGACATTTCTTTATAGGAACTTCCATGTAACGATGTAAAGCAAATGAATCAACAAATATACCTTTCATGCTTGAACTGAGCATCTGCTATGAAAAAGTTGTACATGATTTAGCGCAATATTAAACACTCTTTCAACAGTGAGAAAAGGAACATATTCAATATATGAGAGATTAAAAATTTCAGTTACAGAGTTGTAGCCAAATGCTACAAACACTTGCACTACAAAAAGGCATAGAAGTTAGAATGGGAGTACTGATTTGCAAGCAGATATTTTCACCACATGGCTCTGAATCAAGTATGCTAGCAACCCCTTTCCAAGAATAAGACCATATGTTTCCCCCCATATTTTGGAAGCAGACAAAATATTGTATAATGGTCAAAAGCAACTTGAGAAATAAATAACCAACTACCCTATTTCTTTGTAGTTATTATCTTCCAAGCAAGTTCTCCAAGTGTGACATTGAGGAGTATCATGAATTTTTAAACAACGGAGGTGGTGCCTGCCTCTTCAATAAGCCATCCAAGGTAATTAACAGCTGATTATTGAGAAAGGGAACAGTGGTCAAGGTATTCTTTACTTATACATATATTTTTGCAGCCAGAACTCTTGGAAGAAGGAAACTACCCTTTCTAACCAAGTCTCAGAGGGTGAAATTTGCCCTGTGCAAAGGGGTCAGCATAAGACACACACATCATGTAATCCTTGTGCTTTAACAAAATCTTGAACAGATTCTTCCAGCATTTTAGACCCTTTCTTTCAGAGAAAAGCTCTTCCTCACATACACCAGAATAAATCTTCAGTGCAGCACCGAATAATAATTTTAGAGCCTGTATTTTTGGAACAAATGGTTTTGGGGGTTTTTGTTTGTTTGTTTGGGGTTTTTTTGGTTCTTTTTGGCCTGCTGAAGAAACTGGCATTTGTTGGGTGGACAAATAAATTCAGGGCACACTTTCAATCAACATTATTGGTTTGGTTCAATACTAATCACTTATTTTGGTAAAGCCATCCTGGAATCAATATAACTAAAAGTATTCTTCAACTCACTTTGGCGTTACTGTTCTGGACAGTCAGGAATTGGATAGGGAGAAGATTATGTGCCTTGTTTATATAGTACACACCTACTGAGGCTAGGGATGTGTTCAACAGTTCAATAAAGTAATCCTCAAGAGTTTTCAGCTTTAATTGAATTGAACTGATACCCTTCTAAACTTTTGAAAAGGTTCAGGATACATTAGAACAAATTATCTTCTTGCACTCTGCCTATTCAGGTGGGATACAAAATGATGATAAAGAAATACCAGAAGGAAAGTCGTTCCTGTGGTATTTCTGATCCAGCTGAAACAGGAAGAACTGGGTCATATCACAAAAACCCTTGTGATTGTGAGGTTTCCAGCCCACTTCCCATTCCAGATTTTCCAATTACAGATGGTTGAAAATTGGTGATTTTAGTTCATAAAAGTTTGGGCAAACATTTTAAGTACTGTTTATGCACGTTGGTTCGTGCTCCTCACACATCCCCTAACGTTTGCTTGAATGGCTCAGACCACAAAACTCATTGTGAAACCACAACGTTTCACCAGGTTTTGACACAAAACCATCAGTCACCCAGTTCTACTCTACAGGTTTGCATGGACTGAGTTTGGCATTTGAAATGGAACATGATACCAAATTTAATTTACTGAGGTTTTGGGTTTCTTTGCAAACATTCTGCACAGTCATAGTTCTGCTTCACTTTAGACTAATGTCTGTCAGTGTGGATCTCTGGAAACCTCAAGTAACATTGCTTTCATTTCATCTCCCCCCCTGCAATTAAGACTTAGCTTCTAGAGCCAATCTGGTGGGTTGGTACCAGGGCAGCAAGCTGCCAAGCAGACTCCAGGTACGAGTAGTGTCTTTGGTGTATTCTTGTTACTGGAAACAGAAAATATAACATATTTGGTCGCTAGGGGAAGATTAATAAACCAACCACTTCTGAAGTAATGACGACTTTGTCATTAGTCCTCAAAGAGACTGCTTCCCTGACCTCCTGCTATTTTGCAACAAGTTGTTTTGCAACTATAACTTTTTAAAATAGTGTTTGAAAAATAGAAGTGACTTTCCAAATGCTTAAAGATACAGAGCAAAAATATGATCAAAAGGATGGAGGGACAGTATTCAGTGGATCAAATTCATCTCTGGTGTAACTTCAGTGTTCTGTGGGAATTGAGTTGTCAGGGCTGTCACTGGCCACACAGTCTCCAGCCACCAGAGACTTCAGACTACAAAGTATAAATTAGAGGTGAAGAAAGCCCTAGCAAAAGAGTCGGTGCCTTTAGGATGGTAGCTTCTGCAATAGGTTAGTTGGTGAACACCAGCTTCGTTTATTGCAGCAATAGTCAAAACCCAAGGTACTCAAGATGGGGATCTTGAATCCTTTGTTTATAACTGATGCTATCATCTACAATGCTAACTAGTCCTCACTGGACTAGTGAGGAAACATGGAGACAAGCTAAACTGGCAGCGTTGTTTGCCACAAATGCAAAAGAAAACAGGGATTGCCAAAGCAGAATTTTTATTTCTTCAGTAGCTGGAGGAATAGAATAAACTTTATGACCAATTGCACAGCTGCAGAATTGCAGTAAACACTAGAGGGGGGCATTGTTCTTCACTTGAATAGTTCATGGCTGCAGGTTCGTAGATTTTTCATTATGAGAGAGCTGCCTTTATCAAGTAAACAAGAATGAATTTGCTTTTTCTCTCAGCACCCCAGTGAAAATCATCTCACGAAGTTCACATATTAAATGCTGTCTTCTCATTTGGATGATTATAATAGGGAGTACATCTGTGAAGTGTTGTGTGTTTCTTTTAACAGATGTACTTAATGATATAAGGGATAGTCAGCGCTGTTTATTTTGTTGATAGGATGTAACTGTTTCTTGTTTTTGAACACCTGTATCCTTCCTTTTGCAGGTCTGGTTTTTCACATCTCATGACAGATGATGAGACATTTTGATTGTTAAATCCCTTCACTGGGTGGATTCTTTTTTGTAACAAAGTGATTTTTAATAGAATGTATGCTCATCATGGCTTTGTTTACTGATTATGCTAATTCACAAAAATTAGTAGAATACAGTAGAAGTTTTTTGTATCCCTTTTAGATCACATCACAATTTAGATTAGCAGCATTTAGATTTTTCTTTTATAGGATATGAAAATGTGAAAGAAAGAAGTGGAAGCCAGAGTGATCAAGTTGCGATTTAAAACATTGTATCCAAAATCTTTTAAAATAAAACAATTTTTAAAAAATGAATGTTTATTTAATTCACAAGTCTTTCAGAGACGCATGCTTCATTCTAGCAAGGAAGAGGTAATACAGACCTCTTTACAAGAAGCATGGGGGAAGTGAAACCACATGTTTCTGGGTGTATTGTCCTACAACACTCCATTGGAAGGCTGATATTAAAATCAAGATCAGCCAATTAAGACCCCCACCCCCATCCTGAACAGTGAAAATGTCACCTTGTGATTAATGGAATTTGTTTAAGTCCTGTGGTACAAATTGTACATAGTTAAGAGTTGAGACGTTCACTTGGGATCTTGGGAAAGATTTGTAGCGTTTTGTTTTTCTTAATTTTTGCACTGCAGCTTCTAGATCCTCCAGAATGCGGCAATGGTTTTGTCGAAGATGGAGAAGAGTGTGACTGTGGTACTACTGCAGTAAGTACAACATATTTTGGATCAATAACTACAGGCTCGGGTATTAATCCAGGAGTCACTGACACCCACAATTTCCACTAACGTTAATGAGAGGGATGCACACAGAGTGTAAGATCTTTGGGGCAGGAGCTGTCATTGATTATGTGTTTATATGGTGCCTACTGCAATGGACCCAGCGTGGTGGTGGTTTTTGGTTTTTATATATATATACAACATACATACATATATATATATATATATATATATATAAAACGTTAAATAATAATCATAATTAAGGCTGCAAAATCAGGCCCTGAAAGATTATTTTTTAATATTTGGAAAATGGTATTAGTATATCAAGAGTTTATAGTGGTCACCATTAAAATTGTCAGCATTTGACAACAGATACCACACAGTTATCACAATTGTGTCCTGTTTTATATACAGGGGAAACTGTGGCATCTCAGACTCTACTATGTGGAAATCCTGATGTTTTAGTGGCATGCATATAGTATATATTCAGCTTCATACTGAGCCTGGTTAAAATCTACTTGAGTTTAAAAGCACCTGGTAGCAGTAATGGAGCTTTTGGAGAAATAGGCTTTTCTCTGTAACATTTCACACGTGTGTCTCTTCCCCAGGAGTGTGCCATTGAAGGAGGAGATTGCTGTCATACATGCACCCTGACTGCAGGCTCAGAGTGCAGCAATGGGCTTTGCTGTAGAAAGTGTCAGGTAAGTACAATGCATTTAAAGTGACTTATGCTGTCATTTATGGGGAGTTAGTGAGTTTAGGTGATTATAGGCACAATTGCACATGCATTTTTGCTCTCAGACCTTGGACCTCCCTTTCTGAAAGTTTGACTCTTAAAACTCATCAAAAGCTGGTTAATCTAACTCTGATCTTTGTCTTTTAGATTATAAGATACTTGGGGCAGGGAGTGTGGGCCAAATTCAGAGGTGAGTTTAAGTCTAGACTAATTGACACCTTCTTCCAACCCCAAACCAGTCCAAATCAATTTGGACTCCTTCTGGACTCCTTTGGACTTACATGTTCAGATGCATGCACCATATCACTTACACATCACCTCTGAATTTGCCTCTCTGAATCAGAGAGAGTCTCTGTTGTGGAAACTTATAGAACAGAGGGTCACAAAGAAGAGTGTAGTAAGAAGAGCAACTAGCAGTAAGGCGTGAGGATGTGTAAGTTAAAGGAGGCCTGCTGTTACTTTAACTTACACCTCCTCCTGGCTCCTTAACATGGGACTTGATCCAGAGCCCATTTAATACAATGCAAGTCTTTTTATTTAATTTATTGGGCTTTGGATCAGGCCCTATGTAAGTTACACAAGCTTAAACTCTCCTAACGCCTGGTCTGTACTAAAAAGTCAGGTCGTCCCAGCTATGTCACTCAGGGGAGTGAACCCCCCTCCCCCACCCCTCCCGGGCAATGTAGTTAAGCTGGCCTACCCCCTGATGTAGACAGCTCTCGGGCTTCTTCCGTCAACCTAGTTACTGCCTCTCAGGAAGGTGGATTAAGAACCCAGCCCATCACTTTAGTGAGTGTCTGCACTGAAGCACTACAGAGGTACAGCTGTGCTACTGTAGAGGTTTAATGTAGACAGCCTTAGACTCATCAATCAATCAATAGGCAGGAGTAGGTCAAGTGTCTGTTCACTAAGTCCAGCTAAACACACTTCTGATTTTCACCTTTTGTCTTCAAGCTGAGGACACTGTTCTAATAAAGGACGCTGCTCATCCAATAAATAATAATGTTATCTATGCAATGTACTTATATGTGATATTATCATCTTAATCAATGTGCATTGATGTGTCTGACTCCTATAGGGGAAATGTTAGTAACAGCTCAGTGCCACATTCTGCCTTGACTTTGGACTCATCATTAAATGCAAAAAAGGTGCAAATTATGCTGTAATAGACCTCATTTTTCTAAGCACATTTTTTTAAAATGAAATTTTAAAAAACCCAGAAGATGTCTATGAGTAAAATTTTCAAAAGCACCTAAATGACTTAGCAGCCAAGTCCCATTGACTTTCAGTAAGACTTAGGCTCCCAAATGCCTAAATCACTTTAGAAAATGGAACTAAGGGCTGTCTGCCAAATAGAGTTGTGAAAGTGGGTTAAACTAAACAGGAGCAAGGTAATGTAAAAGAGTATGCCTGCTCTATAGCACCCCCTGCTGGCCAAGCGTGACTCTGTAGCACCCTTGCCTCAGTTTCCCCACAAGTTAGGGCTTCCATATAATAAGTACACTAGGATTATCTGTGTTTATGCCCAACCTGGACTTCTTTATTGGTACCATGTCACCTTAACACTGTCACCCCCACATCCACAAACAGGAGGATTCACCTTGTTCTAAAACCCTATTGTCCAAAACCAGCTATTTTTCCTTCCCTTTGCGATTCTTCCAGTTCACCCATTCCTAGGGGCTCCTCTTCTTCAACCACAGTGGTCAATGGTTAAACATCCTGCCAGCCCCTTGCCAGGTGATATCTCTTCAGGCTCTCCCTCAGGAGATAAGCTTCTCTAAGCATATTATGAATCCTGCCACCCTTCCCCAGATAGTGCCTTATCAGGGATCTTTTCTGGAGATCAACTTCTTGTCTAGCCCAGGACCTGGGTTTCTCTTACCAGGCTCAGCATCTTTCTTTTCTCCTCCCTGTTTCCTGTCAGAGGTGCCCATTATAAGGCCCAGTTGCCTTCCCTTAAGCCTAATTGAGCAGCAGGTCACCGATGCGCTGGTCCTCACTCCCTTTGAAAGGGCCAGTCACCCTGTAACAGGCACTCTTATTCTGGAATAAGTGTGTCCACATGTGGAGTTAATCAGGAACAACTGCATGTGTACACAAGCCCTTAGGCTCCTAAATCACTGAGGCACTTTTTGAAAATGTTACCCTATCTGTCTATCTTACCTATTTTTTTCCACAGCTGGCAGGGGAGAAAAAAACTAAGCCAGGTGTCAGAAAAAAGTTTCCACTGATGTTAATCAATTTAGCTCTACTTAAGTCAATGAAACTACACTGATTACACCGGCTGAGGACCTAGAACAGTAGCATGTCAAATCTTATACAAAATCTGTGCACAGAAAGAGAGCACAAATGAAAAAGGTGAACTGGGGTGTGCAGATTAACCGACCCAGTCAGGAAAAACTGAGGGCTCTGAAGTGGACCTGAGGCATGTCCGTAACTGGTGATGCGACTGAGAAGGAAGTAGTGATGCTTCATTGGTAAACAGGGTGCACAGCACTGACAGTCCCCACTTGTGGGATATTTTGCCATTTCATCAGGTCATGAGGCTTTTGGCAATGGTATAAAATGTTTATTCAGAAATTAAACACCATACATTCTGTCATTACTAACTTTCTCATCCTTAAATGTATGGATACTTTAGAAGTGGGTATAAAATGATGTGGAATCCAACAATGTTTATGGCCAATATCTACCCTGATTTACACTGATATAATGGAGTTACATAGATGTAAGTGACCCAATGATCTCTTACTAATGACCTGGGGTAGCTGTGCTGGCAGAAGTGGAAATTATAAAAGAAAAGAAGCATGATCCAGTAGTTAGGTGCTAGCTGCAGGCTCAGGAGGCTCAGTTTCAATTCTCTTCCTCCACAGACATCCTTGGGCAAGTCATTTACTTTGGGCAAGTCGTTAGTCTCACTGTGCCTCAGTTCCCTCTCTGTAAAATGGAGGTAAAAGCATTTTTCTACCTCATAGGGGTGTTGTGAGGATAAACATTAAAGACTGTGAGATCCTCAGGTACTACAGTGATGGGAGACATGCAAGTATCTTAGGTAGATTAATAGAAGTGAGAGCAAAATTTGGCCCTTACACTTGTAACTGAAAATATAAGGTGATGGTTTTCTTAATCCTGGTGACATGCGTGGAATCTAAACTGAGTCAAAATAGCTTCCCAAAGTTGAAAATTTCCCTTCCTTTGATTCTGGTTAAAACTGTTGAAATGATTATTGCATGAAAAAGCTGGTTATAGAGATACTAAGAAAGCGATTTTTCAAACTTGTTTTAGTTTGAATCGAAAGGGGTTGTGTGCCGAGATGCGGTAAACGATTGTGATATTCCAGAAAACTGCACAGGAAACTCCAGCCAGGTAATATTTTAAACTTCTTTCACAAAAAGTGAACAAGTGTAACACATGCACAATCTCAGTCAGTATGAGAGTTATTGTAGTAGTATCGTAAGTTGTTTAAATGTTGTATAAAAATTACTTTAAGTTTAAGGGGGAAAGTGATAGTGAAAGAAATTTTGAAATGCCACTAATTGCCTTAGATTTATAAATTGTTTTTATAGCCCGCTCACTATCTGGATTATCAAGTGCTTGTTTTCTCTTTCTATAGTGTTCTCCCAATAGTCACAAAATGGATGGGTATTCATGTGATAACAAACAGGTAATTATAATTTGGATTTATATTTTTATTATTTTTATAGATGGGAAAACATATTCCTATAGGTTCTGATCTGAGACCTTTGAAGTCAGTAGGAGTCTTTCCACTAACTTCAAAGAGATTTGGATCTAGGCTCACAAAGTATTTTCAGTTAGAAAGTAGAACCACATTACCTGTTAATTAGTCTTTCCATTACATGCAAAATAAAATGAATAACAGTAATTTACCTGATTTGAAAGTGTATTTGACCCAGTTGTGAAAATGTGAAAAAAGGTTGTTTTTGTCTCTTCAATCTCTTTAGGGTATTTGTTTTGGAGGAAGATGTAAAACCAGGGATCGGCAGTGTAAATACATCTGGGGTGAAAGTAAGTAAACATTATTGTTTCTAAGTTGACTTTCATTGCTATAGCTCTAAAAATTCAAATATCTTGCAGACATACACCTACCTGGAATCATTAAAATCAGTCAGAATTTAGCTGGGACTGTGTGCCATGATATGTACTCAACATGAGACTGGGTTCCATATGTAAAAGAGGAAACTTGCAAACTTTGCCCTTTAGTTCTTGTTTTTTTGCCTGGACCCACTTTTAGTATAATTCTTTACATTTTTATGAAAAGGAGTGGGCAGTTGCTCTGTGATCCTCTATCTTCATTCCCTCACTTTACTTCTGTCCCTGGCTATTGAAGACCCTTCAGCATAGCAACCATGTCTCCAGCCAACAGAGTGCTTGGCTTGAGACTCTTCAAAGACCATCACTGGTGATCCATGCATTAGTCAGAGAAGGTCACTCAAGAATTTCTTCTCTCAAGGGACTGAGCAATTGCTTCTGCTGTGCTCCCGGTCCCTGTTGGCCCTTGGAGCTTAGAACAAGCCCAGGACCTCCCTAGGTTGCCATGGTGATCAGTTTCTTCACACTGATTGGTGTACTTTATTTAGTTAGCAGTTAGAAACATGTTTGAAACCATGGCTAGAAAAAATAAATGGTTGCCAGAGGTCTTCGTTCTTGTCTGATTTAGTGCATATCAGTTTATTTAAATGTGTGGAATTTTGTGTGGGTTTAACCCTGGCACCTGAAATACCAATAGAAGAGTCTCCGCACACAGAGCTGCACCCACCAGTTTAACAACATTTGTTTGAAATCACACGTTTAGTTAAACTGATGCAACTTTGTGTGTTGAACACGACAACGTGTAGAAAATAAGATTCAACTGAGGCTACGTTGACACTAGAGAGCTTAGAGCAGCACAGCTGTACCGAGGCAGCTGCGCTGCTGTAACATCTCTCGTGTAGCTGCTCTATGCTGATGGGAGAGAGCTCTCCCGTCAACATAATTAACCCCCCTGCCCCCCAACGAGCAGTAGTAGCTATGTCAGCAGGAGAAGCTCTCCTACCGACATAGCACTGTCCACACCAGCACTTCTATCTGTGTTGCTTATGGTGTGGTTTTTTCATACCCTTGAGCAACATAAGTTTTTCCGACATAAGTGGTAGTATAGACATAGCCTTAGACTGTTAGCTCTTTGGGGCAGGGACTGTCTATGTGGTAGGTGTTTGTACAGCACCTAGCACAACAGGGTCCTGGTGCATGAGGCACTTCTAGGCACTACTGCAAAACCAATACTACTACTAATAATAAATGTTGTGGGAAATGTCTTCAGCAGCAGGTCAGTCACAGACCAGCACTTGCTATGCCTGCTATGTCTTGGTCAAAGATATTCACTCTGCTCTTATGTCCTAGCTTGCTGTTCTAGTACAAATGGAGGGTGCTTTCGCATTGACTGTCTCAGCTAGTTCAGCATTGACTCTGTCACTCTTGGTACTGGCAGAAGCTAAACGATTTCTGCCAGAGCTTCAGCTTTCTTTGGAGATGAAGAAAAACAATATAAATTGTTACAGGCAAACCATGGGTTCAGAGTTTACGTTTGGTTTAGATTCTTACTCGGGAAGTTCAGATGCTTTTATAAAGCTTATCCAAAGAACGTGTTGAGTCTGAATAATTGGGCTGGAAGTCTCATGAGAGCAGCCATGTCATAAGCTATCTAGTACCTCCTACTGCTTGAGACAGATCAAAGGAGAATAGCTTGTGTTATATTTCAGGCACTTATGCTACTGGTCCCTGATAGAACCTGGAAATACATTAAAAGGAAAAATAATGGAGGAAAGGATGAGAAATTAGCTGTAATTTTTTAAAAACTAGATTTGAGTCTTAAGCTAAGGTTTTGATGTTATTATTGTCTGAACTGGTTCTTCCCTCATTTAAGATAAGTAGAGAGATCCAGGGTTCCTGGCAAGTATTTGGTTTTATAATCTAGTGCTGTTATAACTCAAGATTTTTCCCCAAACTCTTTAGAGCCTCAAACTGGCCATAATCAAAAACATTTTTCCTTAAAAACTGGTCTTTACTTGTAAACAAGGTCTGGAATAAAGAAATCCTTGGAGAGATAATTAGAGCCAATATCCCTGCAATAAAGTAGAAGATAATTTTTGATTTATTTGATCTACAACCTGATTTCTAACATCAAATTTGCATCAGGCTTTTAAAAATGTGCATATTCTTATTAGAAGAAAATTGTTTCTGTTTTTAGAAGTGACAGCTGCTGACAGATACTGCTATGAGAAATTGAATATTGAAGGGACTGAGAAAGGTAACTGTGGAAGGGGCAAGGACACTTGGATACAGTGCAACAAACAGTAAGTTCATCTACTCTGGAAAGCAGCTTGTGTGAGATTCTTGCCCCGGTCCAACCCTTCACCTGTCATAAACAGACTCTAAAAGCCCTGGATCTGGCTGGGGGAGAATTGTCCTGGCACAGGAACTGAAAGAAGACAGCTGTCTTCTAAGGACCACCTACAACTCAAGCCCCAGTTTAGGGTGTCAGGAATGGGGCCAGGGGTTGGAGGAGAGTCCCCATAGTCTGCACCAGCTTCATGGATTGTCATCTGCAACAGACTGTGGAGCAGTCCAGTAGAAGGCGGAGGGGGATTCTGTATCAGAACAGCTCTCAGATCAGCCAAATTTATGCCAGGGCCACTTTGGCCATCACAACAACCCAGAATCCAGGAGGTGTTAAGGTGGCTTAAAGTCACTACCTGCCTCCTCATTGCTCCAAGGCTCTGAAAGGCAGTACATAATATCACTCCTTCGCTTTGCTCGAAGAGTATGTCTGCACTGCAGCTGGGAGTTGTGATTCCCATTGTGGGTAGACATTCGCACTAGCACACTAAAGATTGCATTGTGGACATAGCAGCACCAGTGGCAGCTTGGGCTAGCTGCCTGAGTCCAAGCCTGCCCAATCACCTGGGTCTGAGTTGGGGTGGCTCGCCCAAGCTGCTGCGTGTGCTGCAATGTCCAGGCTGCTATTTTTAATGTGCTAGCTTGAACCGAGCTGGCATGAATCTGTGTACCCACTCTGGAAATCACACCTCCCAGCTGCAGTGTAGTCAGACCCTAAATGCGAGGCTGGGCCTGATTCTCCACGGCCTGGCACTTTGAGAAGTCATTTACATCTGTGAAAACCTGGTGTAAAATGCCACCATTCTGATTTTGTAACTTATGCACCCACTTTGCACAGGTACAAATGACTTCTCAAAGTGCAAGGCAGTGGAGAATCAGGCCCACTGTATGGAATATAAATGTTTTTGAAATGAAGACCCAAATCATGGACGCCAGAGAGACAGTACCTAGTAGAGATAATCTCACAACAGAAATTTGGATCCATCTACCACCAGAACTTTGGGAAAGCTTGGGTCTGAGTCCACATTCCTCTCTCCTACAAATAAAATCCTCAAGTAGAGAAAATGGTGATTGGAAGATTTGTGTACAGTATCATACATTTTTTTACCAGCTCTCACAAATATTTGAAGTAAATACTGCTGTGTCTTGTTTGTGAAGAAATGCATAGATTCTGGACGTCTCTGGCAGAAATCAGTGTTGCTACGGAGAGCCTAGGCCTGAAACTTGTGTACACTGGGGGCTAACACATTTTGAAACAACAATTAAAATCCTTTTATAAAAAGCCTCTTTTCCTAATGTGGCCTTAGGTGAGGCTCAAGGGGTGGCATGCCAGTTCATGAGGTAATTCTCCACTGCCTTGCACTTTAGGTAATTGTTTAAACCTGTGCTAATTAGGTATAAATGACAGCTCAGATGCAAGAAAGTGAAAAATCAGACATGTACCAGTATAAATATTTCAGGTAGGAGGTGATTTTTTTAAAACCAAAATAGTTATACTGGTATGACCCTTAAGGTGGACACAGGGCATGGCTACACTGGAAACTTCAAAGCACTGTCACGGGAGCGCTCCCACGGCAGCACTTTGAAGTGCGAGTGTGGTCGCCCGCGAGCGCTGGGAGAGAGCTCTCTCACTCCTGGTAATCCACCTCCACGAGGGGAATAGCTCCCAGTGCTGGGAGTGCGGCTCCCAGTACTCGGAGGCTGTTTACACTACCGCTTTAAAGCGCTCTGACTTGCTGCACTCAGGGGGGGTGATTTTTCACACCCTGAGCCAGCAAGTTAGAGCGCTATAAAATGTAAGCATAGCCAAGCCCACAGTTACACTGGTATAAAGATGTATTATAGTGGTCTAGGTTATTCCCCTTCCTGTATGGGAATAGCTATATCAGTATAAGCAGTTTTATACCAGGATAACCGCATCCGCATTAGGGGGATTGTACTGGTATAGTTAAAATGATAAAACTTTTATATGTAGACAAGACCTCAGGCTCAAAGAGTCTGGCCACTGAGGTATTTGCAATAGCAAAGAAAGATAACAGGAAAATATGTAAGGCAGATAAGCAGAGAAAATTTTCTTGAGGATGGGAACATAGAGAATTATGGTCCCTTTTGTCTGTGATATTGGACTTGAGCACTTAACGTAAGTGAGGGAGAAATAAGTGGTGGTCTGCCATTCTGATGGGCTGTGTACCAGTTACGAGCACATGTGAAAAAACAAAAGACCTTTTTTTATATAAGTGTAAACTATTTTTATTGGATTCTTTTTCTGAGTGAATGTCTATTTAACCCCTCAAAACAGGGATGTGCTATGTGGTTATCTTCTGTGTTCCAATATCTCTAATGTCCCAAGACTTGGAGAACTTGATGGTGAAATCACATCTTCAGTCATACAGCTGGGGAAATCCTACAACTGCAGGTAATTCTTAAAACCCTATAAAATAGAACAGAGATGATATTGCCCTCCAAATTCCTCTGCTATGGAAATGTCAGCAAACTCCTTCCTAAGTGAGAAGCAACTGCTGTCATTAAAAACAAAACAAAAACTGATGTAAATTGAATTTCAGTCTGACCCCTGCCATTGCTTCTTCCAGATTTGGATTGAGGCACATTATAATGCCATTTTGGGGAAGCTTGCCTTGCTTTTTCCTGCATTTATTCTATGGCTAAATAGAGAATATCAGCCTCCAGAAGTTATGTATGTTTAATCTGAGTATTTTAAAGGGTTTTTTTGGGCAGCATGTCTACGGTAGAAATATAGTATCTTTGTTTTTTATTAGGGCCGCTGACAAAAAACCCATATCCTCCCCAATATTTTTTATGGATTCTGCCTAGTTTCTGCACATTAAAATGACACAAACAAAAATGAATGTGCCACCCAAGAATCCAGTGTATTGAACAGTCTTATGTCGAAAGCAGTGCACAAATTTATTGTGGCTCTTTGTTTGTTTTGTAGTGGTGGACATGTTAAGCTAGATGAAGAGACAGACCTAGGCTACGTTGAGGATGGAACACCATGTGGCCCAGAGATGATGTGTTTTGAGCGCAGATGTCTCCCCACTGATTCCTTCAACTTCAGCATCTGCCCAGGCACTACAGATGACAAAATTTGTTCAGGACATGGAGTATGTTTTCATGTTTTTTAGCCTTGACTTTCACATTTCTGCTGCCTTTATTGAATGCTTCCAAGTTTATGCATTTATGTTACAAGGTAAATAATTTTTATTAAAGTAACCTGAATTGTTACAAGTTAATACAAGTTAATTTTCTAGATACGTTTTTAAAGATTGTGTGTAAATTATAAAGGTGGTGAATACATCAGAGTCAAGGCAGTCTGAGCTATCTATTACAGTCAGTGTACATACTATTATTACAAAAGTTATATAAATTACTTCATTTTCATCACTTCTTCCCACTTGCTTCATCTTTCCTCATATGAATTTAAAGGACTTAGTACCATGCTCTGGGAAACTTTAAAATATATAGGTCCAGTTTCGATTGTCATATTCTGGACCCTTTGTATTGCACAAAAGGTCCATAAAACAGCTGGATCTTATCAGAAGAGAATTCCCCCAGAGTGGGGAGTTCTTGGCCAGTTCACAGCTACTGAATTTGGTTCCTGTGCTGGGCTAGAGACTGGAGTTGCTGGAGTGCCCTGAGTTCTGGCTATTCCAAGATGGCATAGAGTCCCTTGGTCCCTGTCATAGTTTAAAGCGATCCCCAGACTGCTCAAACCTGCCCTGCCCCAAGGGAGCCATAACATACTCCTTGATAACTCCTATTTCTACTGTGCTGAAACTCAGTTTTTGATGTGAAATTATCAATTTAATCTATTTTAAAAGAAAACTGAAATCTGAGGGACACAGTCTCCCAAAATGAAACAACAAAAATATTGTACCGAACTTTGCAGGCAATTTTTTACCAGTTCCACACATCTCTACCTAACTCATATTCTAAATAATGGAGAAAAAATTTCATTTTGTGATTTTTATTCTGGGTTACGTTTTGAACTGCAGGTTTGCAGCAATGAAATTAAGTGTGTCTGTGATCGATTCTGGGTAGGAGATGACTGCAGCACCGCTTACAAAGATGCTTCAATTTTTGATAAAGAAATGGCAGGCAAAGGTGTGTAATGCATATATTTGTGGTAATACTTTAATAAATGACAAATTGTAGAGGCTAGTCTTTGGTTTGGGGGAAGGTCCAGCAAGCAAAGCTAGATCAGCTACTCCTTCACTTAGCATATAGCAATATCCTAGACCAGTGCTGCTTCTCAAGCTATCTGATGTGGGGCACCGGCAATTGTTTTTTCCAATGTGTGCTCAGACTGGCAGCCGATGGCTCGTGGACCAGCACCGGTCGCGGACCACCACTTTGAGTAGCACTGTCCTAGATAGCCTGATCTCTCTCTTTAAAAAAACAAAGCAAAACAAATGGTATAAAAATGGCTCAATCCTACAACTGGATCTGCACAACTTGACTGCTGTAGAATTCATAAGAGTGCCATGTGGGTTCTAGAAGTGAATCCAGGTGCATCTTGCTTGCCTCACTCATGTGAATGAACCTATTAAAATAAACAGAATTATTCCTGGTTAAGATTAGCAGAATTTTACCAGTACCCGCACCCCTTCCCCCCCATTATCAGATAAAAGGGGCAGCACTGCTTATATTTTTGTCTTATTCTCCAGGGCCAAATTTTCAAAACATGGCCTCTTGTTGCATGCATGCACATCATATAAACATATAATATCTGTACATAATATGTGCACACGTGACAGAACGTACACTTTCAGATTTAATAAGTGATTTATGTAAACACATTTTTTATTTAATCTCTGAGCTTGTCTACATAAGAAAGTTATATTGGTAAAAACTGAAATGTGAATTTAAACCTTTATAGCTACACCAGTATAACTGCCCAGGTGGATACTCTTATTCTGAAAGAAGAATAACTTTTTCAGTGTAGCTTAAACCCCTTCCTAAGCAACATAAACTACACTGAAAAAGGCATTCTTACTTGAGAATGAGAATGTCCCAAGGGGAATTATAGTAGTCTGACTATAGCAGTGTAATTATACTGGTATAACTGGTAAAACTTTCCCATGTAAACAAGCCCTCTGTCAAGGGTAACAGTCAGATAGATATTTTGTCTACAAATATTCCTTTGTATAGTAAAAGTCTGTTTTTATTATGTATTTATATTTTAAGTATTATATAAATAATGAAAATAATGTATGACATCATATAATAAGTATGATTAAATCTCATGTAGGATTCCCTTCAGCTTTTAAAGTAAAATTATCATTTGCCGCTATCAAAAGACACTCTCCCTTCACACCTCACTTTTTATTTGTTCATTGAGAGATCACTTAATGTAGATTTCATTGTACATATTTACAGCATATTTATAAGCACTACTTATAACTGAAGAAATATGCATATGGGGCAACTTTTATATCTTTATATGGCACTTGGAGGTTTGTATTTGGACATCACCTTTTGGAAAGGGAAGCACTGAGCTTGATGATCATAATGAGAAACAGAAAGTCTTAATCTCTGAACTGAGAACAAGAAATCTTCTATACCAAATAAAGAGAGCCTCAACGTGTTGTATAAATGTTATACAGAGTATCAACATGCCTGTATTTTTAATTTAAGTTGAACATTTTAAAATGAGTTTCTAAGTCTTTTTGTCCTCTTGTCCTGCCCCTGCAATACAGGTATAAAGATATTTTATCTTATTACAGATCCTATTTCATTATATGAGATACCCCCTATTTAAATTTAGAAAGCTAAGAATGTTCAGCCCATTGAATGATCAAATTTGACTGAACATTTGTGTTTTAATCACAGAATTAATGTTCTTATACTTTCACACAGACTCATACATATGGTTCCATAGACATTGCAGGTGTTTCTAGTGGCTTTGTATTATTTTTTTAATTGAATTTTTTTTATGATTAATTTACTTCCAGAAGTTATAACAAGATTTGGAAATCAATTAATTCAATTCATTTTCTTTTACATGGTCAAAATTCAATGGCTTCTAATTTTAAAAGTCCCTTGTTAAACATATTAATGCTATTTACAGGACTCTAGCGCTGTTTTAAATTATTCAGCACAGATCTAATTGCTCAAACAAATCTCTAGAACAGTGCTTTAACTGCTTTGTATATTTTTATTTTTAAATTTCTGTATATTTTGTTTTTTGTCTTTCACTTTTCCCCAGGTGTTGTTAGTACAAATATAATAGTAGGGGCTATTGCTGGCACCATTTTAGTGTTGGCTCTCGTTTTAGGAATAACTGGATGGGGTTACAAGTAAGTATAATGTGCAATTTTTAATAAATTTGAAAATACTTATATATGTTCAGTGGATAGCTGTTTACAATATGAAGTAATAAAGCAAGAATATTGAAAATTATACAAATTTAGGGTGGCTGATCAAATAGAAACTGAATTATCTCTATTAATGGTCAAGGGAATTTAGAAAGATAACCCCTGTGTAAGCAAACCATTTAAGGACAAGCTTAAGTTTAAGGACATGCATAATTCCCATTAACTTTATACCAAACGTGAGCTTGTGCTTAAGTGGTTTGTTGAATGGGGATGGGATTGAAGCACATGATTAAGTTTCAGATTCTCAACTGATATCCAGTTTATATTATCTGAGGATCTGGCCCTAAGTGTTTTGCTGAATCAGGGCCAAAATGGCCACGTCCATTTCTTTCAGTATTAATGTTCTTTTTTTTTCAGTTTTGTTTCTGTGCTGAAGTTCTTCTGTAAACAAAACATTTTAGTATTTTTGCAGATATTAAGTTAAGATTTAACGCATCTGCTTTTAGAAAAAAGTCAGCAGCATTTGGATTTAAATGGAATGGCTACAACCCCCTTTATGTGGAATATTGACAAAGGAAACCAAGCTCGACTATTCAAATACCATTACTTGGATAATACCAAAATGATTCAGAATATTGGGCCAGTGCTGTTCCTAGTTATACTGTATAGTCCCTCTGTTTGCCAGAAGCTGGGAATGAGCGACAGGGGATGGATCACTTGATGATGACCTGTTCTGTTCATTCCCTCTGGGGCACCTGGCACTGGCCACTGTCGGAAGACCGGTTACTGGGCTAGATGGACCTTTGGTCTGACCCAGTAGGGCCATTCTTATGTTCTTATGATGCCAGTATGATTAAATAATTGACTTAAGTATTTGGAATGCCCTATATCTAAATGCAAGAACATGCCAGGAGGTTATGCCCTTTCTTGGATGAGAACCTGGCTACAATGAACATACTCCAGCTATTTTTATAATTTCAGGTCCCTCTGCCATGTAAATTAGGGGAGTTGAGAGCTGCTCTTGTACAGTGCAAGGAGAAAGGCGTGCATAGAATACTATGAGGATTAGGTTAATAAAAGGACAGCTTTAAGCCACTTTTGCATTACCACCCACTGATTTTGGCAGTACCTGAAGATCTGAATCCCTCTTTGAAATACAGCTTCAAAACTTAATGCATGTTTTGGGGTATGATTAGGCAGTAATTTAGTGAATTTTCCTAGTAATACAGAAATATGTATTGAAAAACAGAACAAAGGTTTCCAAAAGTTCCCAGACTTAATAAGCATGTTTCAGATACTGATAAAACATTGCACTGCATATCCTAGAGACGCTAACAGTCCAATCTGAATATAAACCTACAGATTTGTTTTGAACTAATACATCTGTTCTCTTTTCCAAAAGTGATTTATTTAGGAATCATCAAGAATCAAAATTTCACTTTGGCCTACATTGCTTTTAGATTTACTTGTTGTTTATGCTGTTGAATACAGCCACATTCTCCCTAATATATACACATTGGTAATTCATTCTTATTTCTTTCTCTTCTTTTCTATGGAAAGAAACTATCGGAGACAGAGGTATGTGATAAAAGTAAAGTGAATACATCCCTTAGGAAGGCTTTAAATTATGATTATTTCTGTCTTTTTCCATTTTTGTGATGATGTGAATTTTGTGGAGAGCACCTATGGATAATGAATTGTCATATTTCAATGTTTCCTTAAATCAGTGGTTTTCAGCCTGTGGTCTGCAGGTCCTAGGGGTCAAAAGACTATGTCTAAAATTTCCAAAGAGGTCCGCACCTCCATTTGAAAATGTTAGGGGTCTGCAAATGAAAAAAGATCAGAAACCACTGCCTTAAATTATCTTCTGATTTTATAAAGGAGTACTTACCTGAAATATCTGAAAATGCTGTGAACACTTAAAACACAATGGCTAAAATCCTGGCCCCATTGAGGTCAATGGCACAACACCCATGGACTTAAGTGGGGCCAGTATTTCATCCAATAAGAACAGGAAAATATAGAAAAAAATAATTAAAGATAAAAGTAGAGCAAAAACCAAATATGCTTTTAGAGATTAAAATGTTCTTGAGGTCCAAGAGGAGTGAGCAGTAATGTGAACCTGATGTACATTAAATTATCCAAACCAAATTCATTCCTGTAGTTATACCTTTAAATTAAATACATTTTAGTTAAATTAAATTCATAGATAAATTTGAAAAAAATAATTTCAATGACAGAGATAGATGTTAAAGTCCATGTTGCTGTTACAACTCAAATAGTCTCATATATATCCTGCAAGTTTATATTTGAGTTATGTTTTATATACAACCTGGAACTCAGGATAATGCACTTCAGAACAAGGAGGATCCATAAAATTGGATTTAGATAAAAATGGGTTAATATGTATGAGAATATACCAAGATGAGAATACAGTTCCAGGACTAGTTCACACGGATATAAATCAGGAGCAACTCTACTGAAGTCACTGGAGTTACACCAATGTAAAACTAGTATGAGTTCAGAATCAGCAGTGAGGATGTATGAGCCAGTTTGGAAAAATGTGACACAATCTGCTCCACTGTCTAAACCAAATGCTGATCTGTTCAAAGATTCACATTGATTCAGACAAGCAATGTAAAACTAATTGAATCACTCTTCCCATGAACCAAGGTCCAGCTGTTGATTCCAGGAAGAACCCCCTCCGTCCCCCAAACTGTGCTTCCTTCCACCTACCCTGCTACCCTCCTATCCCTAACTGCAAGGGCCTGATCCTGCACTCATTCAAGTCAAAGGCCAAACTCAAATAGGCTTCAGTGTGGAAGATCAGACCCAAAGAGAGAGTTGCTCACTGATTATTCTTCTGCCTTCCCCCACCAACCAATCCCCTCCTGTTTAATGCAGTTATTACACTGTCTTGGTCCAAGATACTGCTATATCGGCTGCTGCCACCTGCTGAACTTGCACTCCATGCCCTCTACCTTTGTAGTACTCTCTCTCTCTCTCTCACTTAGAATGCTTGGCGTGTAGCAGCAAGGTCCTGCCAAATGCAGATTTGTTTAGGCTATGTCTACACTACTGTCTATTTGGCATAACTTATGTTGCTCAGGGGTGTGAAAAAAACCACTCCTCTGAGCAACATAAGTTACACCGACGTATGCGCTAGGGTGCACAGCGCTATGTCAGTGGGAGAGCTTCTGCCGCTGACATAGCTTCTGTCACTTGCAGAGGTAGTTTTATTATGCCGATGGGAGCGCTCTCTCCCATTGCCATAGAGCGTCTTCACTAGACATGCTGCAGCGGCGCAGCTGCATCAGTACAGCAGAGGAATGATGGAAGACTGGTTTGTGGGAGTCTCTTATCATAAGAACATAAGAAAGACCATACTGGGTCAGACCAGTGGTCCATCTAGCCCAGTATCCTGTCTCTGAAAGTGGCCAGTGCCAGATGCTTCAAGCACATGAAGGTTTAGAAACATGTGGAGCATAGCATTGCATCCCTGACCATCTTGGCTAAGAGCCATTAATGGACCTATTCTTCATGAACTTAGCTATTTCTTTTTTGAACCCAGTTATACTTTTGGCCTTCACAACATCCCCAGCATAAGTTCCACAGATTGATTGTGCATTGCATGAAGTACATCCTTATTTTTGTTTTAAACCTGCCACCTATTAATTTCATCAGATGAACCCTCGTTCTTCCATTATGTGAAGGGGTAAATAATACTTACTTTCTCCACACCATTCACGAGTTTAGGGATCTCTATCATATCCCCCCCCCCTTAGTCATCTCTTTTCTAAGATGAGCAGTCACAGTCTTCTTAATCTCTCTGCATATGGAAGCTGTTCCATATCCCTAATCATTTGCCCTTCTCTGCACCTCTTCCATTCTAATATTTCTTTTTTGAAACGCAGTATTCAAGGTGAGGGCATATCAGTGATTTGTACATCATCATTACAATATTTTCTATTTTATTATCTTTCCCTTTTCTAATGGTTCCTAGTATTCTGTTAGCTTTTACAATTGCTGCTGCACATTGAGTGGATGTTTTCAGAGAACTTTCAACAATGGCTTCAAGATCTCTCTTGAGCGGTAACAGCTAATTTAGACTCAATGTATGTATGGTTGGGATAATGTTCCCAATGTGCATTACTTTGCATTTATCAACACTGAATTTTATCAGCCATTTTGGTGCCCAAACAGTTTTGTGAGATCCCTTTGTAACTCTTCGCAGTCTGCTTTGGACTTAACTATCTTGAGTAATTTTGTATCATCTGCAAATTTTGCTATCTCACTGTTCACCCCCTTTCACAGATCATTTATGAGTATGTTGAACAGCACAGATCCCAGTACAGCTCCTTGAGGGACCATGCTATTTACCTCTCTCTATTATGAAACCTGATCATTTATTCCTACCCTTGTTTCTAATTTTTTAACCAGTTACTGATTCATGCAAGGAACTTTCCTCTTATCCCACGACTGCTTACTTTGCTTCAGAGCCTTTGGTGAGGCACTCTGTCAATGGCTTTCTGGAAGTCCAATTTTGCTATATTGACCCTTGTCCACATGCTTGTTGACTCCCTCAGAGAATTCTAATAGACTGTTGAGGCATGATTTCCCTGTACAAAAGCCATGTTGACTCTTTCCCTACATATCTGTTATGTGCAGAATGAGTTGGCCTTAAAGCCATTTGATTGGAGATACAACTACATTGGCAGAGGATAGGGCAACTTAAATCTTGAAAATATCAAAGAAACCCAGCCTATAACCCAGTGCAAAATTAGCATGAGAGGATTGAGAGAATCTAAAATACCAATTTTAATATATTCTTGGTGAACTTTTAGGTTCCGTCATCCAAGAAGTTTATTAAGTGAGATGGAAAGCTATAAATGTGGACACACATTCTGTGTGCAGTTTCCATTCCAAGGTTCAGGATGGAAACTAGTATAGGCAAAGACTTGTTGGAAATGATGAAACAGCCAGTGATGCCTAGGAACCAAACCTCATTAATGTAGGAAGAGGAAATCCTATAGTCTGATATCTGAAGAAATAGTTATGAAAATATATAAGCAAGGATTCAGTAGATGAAAAAAATACAAGAGGGTCAACTGGAAAGCCCTCATCGGAATTAGTTAGTGTTAGCTCTTAATCCAAAATGAAAACAAATCATCAGTCTGCATGCCAGTGTTACATAAGGATTACTATTTGATGGAGCAAAGCAACTGAAACAAGTCAAATGTAAAAAACTGAAAGGAGTAAAATGTCAATGGTTCTATCGACTGAGATAGCCTGAAATGCACAAAGATATGGAAAAAAACGTTAGTTTGATCAAAGAGTGACAATTTGTTAAGTAGTAGACTGCAGAACCATTAAACTCTATAGCGATACCCACAAATCACAATAAGTTTGCCTCTGAAACATTCCTGGGGTGTGTGAAGATTGAGACAAGTGAGACTCAGTATGGAATTAAAGGAACCGAAAAGATTACCGTCCGTGAGCCTTTTGGCGTGTGATCATATATTTTAAACGTATAAGGAGCTTTTGAAATTTAAATCTGGAAGTGAAGGAAATCTTAACAGAGTCAAGTTCTGTAGGAGGACACAGTCTATATTTCTGAAAACTGAAGTGAAAGTGAAAGTCAGTCTTCTGGTTAATGAGCATTTTTATTAATGGTGACAAACAGAAACAAACACCTTGGGAAGTTTTCTACATTTTCAGATATAGTGAATATATATATATATATATATTGAACTGGGCATCTTCTGCTAATGATTAAAGGAAAGGACAAGTTATCCATTACAATTAGGGAGACATTTTTGACCTGCGAGAATTATCTGCAGAGGACAGTGATAACCGATGGTTATAAATTCACTATCAGAGGAAAAGTGGGATTGGTTGTTCATAAATTGGAACTTTTTCCTCAAATCATGGTTAAAGGGATGAGTGGAATGTGATTATATATTTTGATAAATGGGTGTGCTTCAGAAACATGGAACATTTTAATCTCTTTGCAAATAATTTGCTTCTAATTGCAAACATTGAAAAGGTTCAGAGTCCTGTGGCACCTTATAGACTAACAGACGAATTGGAGCATAAGCTTTCGTGAGTGAATACGATACATGTATCCGACAGAAGTGGGTATTCACCCACGCAAGCTTATGCTCCAATACATCTGTTAGTCTATAAGGTGCAACAAGACTCTTTGCCGCTTTTCCAGATCCAGACTAACACAGCTGCCCCTCTGATAATTGAAAAGGTTGTTTAATCAGAACAGAAACAAATCTTGGATGAATGACAGAAGGAACATAGAACAGAAGGCATGATCTAAAAGGGTGAAAAGATTATATAATAAACCCTATAATACTTCTGGGCTAGCAGCTTGTCTTTGTCTTTCCTGTCACTTTTCTTCTTCAAGCAATCTCATGAGTAATACTTACTCAGAGACTGATTGTTGACAAAATGGAAAAGAATTAAAAGTTAAAATTTAAGCCTAAAGGGAACACCCTAGTAATGATTTACATTTGAAGTGAGGTGCTCAGATGAATATTTCAAGATAGTGACTTTACTATACTGCAGCCAAGTAACACTGTACTAAAAAAAACCTCAGCCTGCACACAGGAGCTCAGAAAAAAATAAGTTCTGCTGCTGTAGTCCAAAATTCCTCTTGTGTAAACTTCCGACACAGTGAACTGTAAAGCTGCAGCAGCTCCAGGAAATAACTCGAAACTAGGAGCTGTCATTCAAGCAAGCAGATGATGAAATCCTTCAAACCAGTACCTTTAGCAAAGTGGAAGTCAGTGCCAATTAAAGGAAGTCAGCATCATGTCATCTGTCTTTCAGAGGGAAAAAAATGTGCATTTTAAACCCACTTGGAGATCCAGGAGTAAATCCTACTAAAATTGAGTTGCCATAGTTAATTCTCTGTCTGACCAAACAACCTAATCCCTTTCACAAGCACTACATTTGCTTTAAAAATACAATTCTGGACTTGCAGTTTATGCTTCTAGAGTGCTAGAGGGCTTTAAAGTGAACCTTGTTTGAGATGAAGGTCAAGATTTTTAAACAGTGATTTTGGGTGTCCTTATTGGAGACACCTTAAAGTGGTCTGATTTTCAGAGAATGGGTATGCAGACTGATTGGCAGTTTCACCAGCTAGGGAATGGAAATAAAGCTCCAAGCCCTTTTAAGACTCTTTCTTTGGGGTTTGTTCATTCATTTGGTTCAAACACAAAAACCAAAGCAACTGAAAAACACTGAGCATTAATTCCCCAGAAGCTTTCCCTGCGTTAACCAGCCAGGAAGGGAGAACACACAACCCTTTCCCTTAGCGCCCTTTTGACCCAGCTTCTACTTCCTTTTAGTCTCTGCCCTGAATAGCCATATGCCCAGTTGCTGACTATCCTTTGCAGGCTGCAGCACCTGTACCTAGGCCTCTTGAAGACATCCGAAATTGATTATCCAAAACCTGAGGCATCCAAAACTAACTCGTGACTTTTGAAAATCTCAGCCAGATTTTTTCAGTTAAAAGGCAGGTTTCTCTGAGTTAAACCTCTGACCTTGCATTTCTGAATTCTCAAAAATATGAAGGACTTCTCTTTCAAGTCTGAGGTGTTTATTAATATTCTTATTGTGTGTGGTATAACAGTTTCCTCCTGTAGAGTGTTATCTCTTCCTCTTTCTCCTAAACTAATATTTATGTGTGCATGTCTTGTTTTCTAACTTTAAAATGTTTATTATGCTTTAGACAAATACCACAGGGAGATTATGTAAAAAAGCCTGGAGAGGCCGACTCTTTTTATAGCGACATACCTCCTGGAGTCAGCACAAATTCAGCATCTAGTTCTAAGAAGAGGTCTGCTTTTCTGTCGCATTTTCAGATTTCTACCTGTTCCATCACACATTATTCCATTAGTCAGAACATTTCATTGTTTTGCAGCAGGTTTGAGTCCTTCTTCTTTCTTTGTGGAATGTTAAAAATGGCATCTTTTATTCTTTGATTACTGATTTTTTGTCACCCCTACATAAAGTGCCCCAAACTGTTGATTATTAAAAATCAAAGGAGAATAAGTATAATTTACATTGCTGTCCAAGGTTTGTATAATCTAATTTTCAGTATCTCTCTCTGCTTGGAAATTGCTTTCCAAGAAGACTATAGTGTTCTTGGCGGGTTCAAAAACAAAATAATAAATAAAAAATCCTGTGAATTTTATATCATGTTCACGTAATCAAAGAAAAGAGATACTGTCATGTTTCAATAAGAGTTATAAAAATAAACTAGTTAATCTGAATGTTATTTTTGTATCCTTATTTGTAAATGTCATTGGTAACTCCTTGTAGTTGTAGTAGACCTAGACGTAGTGAAACATATTTTTATTCTTGCTGACTTGCAGAAATGAGTGTGGTGCTCACAGTTTATATAAATATTATTTCTAGACTAATATACTAAACTTTCAATCAAGTAAAAAGAAAAGGAGTACTTGTGGCACCTTAGAGACTAACCAATTTATTTGAGCATAAGCCCTTGTGAGCTACAGCTCACTTCATCAGATGCATCTCACGAAAGCTCATGCTCAAATAAATTGGTTAGTCTCTAAGGTGCCACAAGTCCTCCTTTTCCTTTTTGCGAATACAGACTAACACGGCTGCTACTCTGAAACCTTTCAATCAAGTGTTAATCTAGGACTTGATCTTGCAAACACGGGTACCTTGTGCTGACTATTCTTAGTCCCTCAGAGCAGTAGATTGTACCATTGTTAAGTACTAATCCAAAAAGATACATTATTAATTTGTTTAGAGTTTGCTAGTATGTTGTGGCACCAATAGCTTAGAAAAGACATCAACATCATTTTAAAATGACAAATTCATTGCAGAATGTTCATAGTACATTAGTGGTTGATAAACTCACCATGCTCTGCCATCATTTTGCAATCAGATACTTTAATTATGAAACTCCTTTTTAACTGGCACTTCAAAATGATTTACAAGGAGCAGTGAGTAATAGGAATAGAGTCCTTCTCATAGGAGAACTGAATTTTTTTTTAAACTTCCTATTTCTTCTCCCTTTGGATAATTTATAAATGAGCAATTGATAAAATTCACTCAATTTTTAGCCCATTTAAAGTTGCTGAACATAGCAAGTATGTGAAACTGTATATACTATATAGGCCTCACATTCCGTTTCCTTGAAAGTATCCCATTTAAATCCATGACTAAGACAAATGTATCCTTCAAGGGAACAGTACTTGAGATGTAATTAACTAACCACACTCCCCTTTTTGGCTAAAGCTTTTATTTTTGTGGGGGGATAAATAATTTACTTCCAGGGAGTGAAAGTTAATCTTAAAATGATGCAACGTCTTCAGTTGCAAAATCGTTTCTCAGTTCTAACCAAATCCTGGGAAAGCAAGATTCCATAGGTCTTGTATTCAGCAGTGGAGCAGGTTTGCATTCCAGTTAAGAAAAAATGGTTTAACTTTTTTAATTGAACATTATGTAACTCTTCTCTTCATTATACGCCTTTGTTTCGTCTCATACTTCCATTTCTTTCATGTTGCTTTCACTTGTTTATTATTTACTGTACAATGCTAAGGTCTGTTTATGCCAGAGAAATTGAATGTTGTTACCACTGTTGAGCAAGTTTGGGTAATGCCTCTTTCATACTACTAATGTGGACAGAAAACAAGGCATTGAAACAATCCCAGTATTAACTGATCCTTTCAGTTCAGTCCCCATGATGTTATACCCACCTATCAGGCAAATTGCCTTCAGGACACTCTGTCCACAAATACCCACATCTCTGGGCAGACCAAAGAGCAGCCGAGGCTTTACTCATTTGATCTCATTGATGCTGGAAAACACTATGAACGGTTAGTTGAAGAGAATTCAGCATGTCATTAAAATATTAACAGCTAACTTTATAATAACACTCCAGTATAAAACAGTGAACTCGAAGCACAGTAAAAAGTGGGGGCCACCCGTCGCACCTGTAAAAGAAACTAGTAGGAGAAAAATTATCCAAGAATGTATCAGTTTTAAGATATTTAATCCTGGAAATATGCTTGAATCAATAAATATCTGTGTGATAAATAAATAAATAGCTTAGGGTGACCTGTGAGTGACCCGAGCTCCTGGGAACTACCTAAGCAGTCTCCATCAGATTCTTGTCCTCCAAAGGAGAAAAGAGGTGGAAGAACATTAGTATATTCAGATATACAGTTAAAATATACAAATACACTTGAGCTTCTCCCAAGTAAATAAACAAACAATCTCTGTTTTACCTTGCCATGAGTCTCCAGGTACCACTTGTCTACTTCCATCCCCTCTTGTAGACCTAACAATCATCATGGGTTGCCACTGCCACATGTGGCAAAGGAAGTGGGAAGCAGAACTAGCTGTGTTGCAGGGAGTCTTCTATAAGGATCTTCTCCCTGTAGATACTGGCCCTCAGCAAACACATATCTGGATCGTAGAGGAAAACATGAGAAGAAAGAAATACATTAGTTCATCATATAGGTTCTGAGTATATAGACCACACTGCAATCTCCAGCTCACAAAAAGAATAAGATATCCGTATTAGGGCTGTCAAGTGATTAAAAAAATAATCACAATTAATCATGCGATTAATCACACTGTTAAATAATAATACAATACCATTTATTTAAATATTTTAGATGTTTTCTACATTTTCAAATATATTGAATTCATTTATAACACAGAATACAAAGTGTACAGTGCTTGCTTTATATTTGTTTTTATTACAAATATTTGCACAAAATAAATCATATTTTTCAATTCACCTAATATAAGTACTGTATTGCAAACTCTTTATCATGAAAGTTGAACTTACAAATGTAGATTTATGTACAAAAAACCCTGCATTCAAAAATGAAACGATGTAAAATTTTAGTGCCTGCAAGTCCACTCAGTCCTACTTGTTCAGCCAATCGCCCAGACAAACAAACTTGTTTACATTTGCAGGAGATAATGCTGCTTGCTTCTTGTTTACAATATCACCTGAAAGTGAGAGCATATGAATGTTTAGTATATGTGGCATGTAAATACCTTGCAATGCCGGCTACAAAAGTGCGATGCAAATGCCAGTTCTCACTTTCCGGTGACATTGTAAATAAGAGGGCAGCATTATCTCCTGTAAATGTAAACAAACTTGTTTGTTTGAGCGATTGGCTGAACAAGAATTAGGACTGAGTGGACTTGTAGGCTCTGAAGTTTTACATTGCACTCAAAAACAAAACAGTTATGTAACAAAAAAAAATCTACATTTGTAGGTTGCACTTTTAGGACAAAGAAATTACACTACAGCACTTGTATGAGGTGAATTGAAAAATACTATTTTTTGTTTATAATTTTTACAGTGCAAACATTTGTAATCAAAAATAATATACACTTTGTATTCTCTGCTGTTATTGAAATCAATATATTTGAAAAAGTAGAAAAACATCCAAAATATTTAATAAATTTCAATTGGTATTCTATTGTTTAACAGTGCAATTAAAACTGTGATTTAACTTTATAATTGAGATTAATTTTTTTTAGTTAATTGCACGAGTTAACTGCGATTAATCGACAGCCCTAACCCATGCCCGTTTATTCAGCTGAGAATGAGCACTTTAGCTCCTAGAGCACCCCAACCTAGGTCCATTGGTGCTCATCATGATCATCCTGGGCTTCCAGGGCTAGAGGTAGGAGAAGAAATGTAATGGGGAATCCTCCCAACCACCTTCCATCATCATGTTTCCCTCCAGTTGTGTGAGGCCTTAGCATGCATTCCTCAGTCAGGATGGAATCAATGATTGGGGAGGGGGGGAAGGGCATGCTACAGCTAGGAACAGATAGCTAGAAAGATGCCTTAGGAAGCTTGCAGTGCACTGGGATAGCAACAGTTGGATGAAGTGCTATGAGTGGTCACCCTGAACCAGTTTACAGAACCCAGGCTAGTGAATGTGGACACACTGAACCACTGCAGGAATGGCCAGTACTAGCAAAACTTAGCTGCAGCGCTTTACCATAAAACAGTGCACTCTGTTGGTGCAGACAGACCTTCGGGCTTTGTTTTGTGACCCAACCCTGGAACTGTGAATGTTTCTAACTCATCAAACCAATATATAATTATGAGAAGGTAACCTAACAACAGTCACAGATGAGCCTTCCTATTCCAGGTCAAATGGATTATCTCATTCATGGAGTGAAAGGATCCCAGACACAAAGCATATTTCAGACATCTGTGAAAATGGGAGACCTAGAAGTAACTCATGGCAAGGTAAGGGAGAACTTTTATGCTGATTACAGAAAGAACCCACCTGGGTGTCACTACCAATATGCTGACAATTTAATTGTTCTATGGACAGGAACATGACTCCCTAAAATTGTGTACGTTTTGTTCTTAACCTGGGAGTTGGATTTAACAGCACAACATACTAGTACATTTTGCTGTATCACTAACAGCAGGAGCTCTGGACCCTTCGACTCCAAGAGGTGAATTATTCCAGGTCTGTGGCAATGGGCCAAACTGCAATTTTAAATACAATTTTAGACAGTACTATTCAACTGTTACTTTCAAACAATCCTTTGAGTGCAAACCTGAAACATATATGCAGCATATATTCAATTAAGAGGAACCCTAATACAGATATAATGGCCCAAATTCTCTGCTGTGCCTACAGTGGGGAACCACAAGTGAGCCATTTACAGCTCTCCAAGTCTCTTGCTGGTTTTATGCTGGCCACAGCTCCTGCAGAGTTTAGAGCAGCCTCAGGGATACTCTAAACTTTAGTAGCTGGTAATGATCCCTAGGACCTGCCCACAAGCTAGTTATTATCTGAGCACAACATGCTTCAACCACATCCCCTACCCATCTTTACTCATGCCCACTCAGAGTCTGGGGGTGGGGAAGGCCTAGGATGCAGATGCACTGGGCCTGAGTCAGTTGGGAAGATACAGATAGTTCTGCTTTCTTTGTGCCACTTGAGCAGAATGGGCGAGATTCTATGGCTTGATATGTTGTAAAGCATGCCACTCCATTGGCTGTAGCCACTTTGCCTTGGAAAGGTATATCTTTGAGAATACCTGGGGGTGATACATTGGATGAAAAAAAATGAATATCAGAGAAGAAAAACATCTCCCAATTTTCTTTTTGTATGAAAAATTAAGAATTTTAACCCTCTAATTGAATTGCCCACAAGAGCATCAGAATGGCCCCACTGCAGCTTTTCAAAGGCGGAGATTAAGAGATGTATATTTAAGAGTTTAACAAGGAACTAAATTCCTTGGAGGTTTATCCCTGTTGCTTGAAATCAGCTGATCATTGCAAACAGGGTCAAACATATCAAAACAGGAAATGCTAAATTTTGGAAATAAGGCTCTGAGGGCCAGATGTTAAAGGTATTTAGGCATCTAAAGATGCAGGCAGTCACCTGGGGGATTTTCAAAAGTGCCTAAGCAGGTTAGGTACCTAACCCCCATTGACTTCAGTGATTAGGTGCTTTTGAAAATCCTACTAGGCACCAATCTGCATCTTTAAGTGCTAACTACCTTTGAAAACCTGGCCTTAAGTTTTTTAGACAAATGATCATTCCAGTCACTGATCACCAAGGCTAAATTCTATTGAATTAGATTATTACTAAAATCCAGATTGTGGCTTGTCCCAACTGCTCCTGTGTTGGCTATCCATACCACAATTTCTCTCCCTGCGCATGGGCGAAGTTTCACGGCCAAACGTTCCAGCCAGTGCAGCTGTGCTTGGAAACATAGACTGCATCAAGTTTAGGGCTGGCACAAGCTACCTTTCTCCTCTACATACACCACCCAGAGCAGGAGGAAACTGGAAGGCACAGTCTACTTCTTAGTCTTCTCTTGGGGAGAGCACAAGTACACACTTCCCCATATGCATGGAAGACTGTAAAATAACAGTCTTGCCCAGATGATGCCACTCATCTGAGAACAACTATGTTAAATGTAAATCAGTTAAATTTTAGAAATTAAAGGCTTCTGCCAATGTAAGGCCTCATCCTGCAGCCCCTCCGGCAAAATTCCCACCAGCTACACTGGGATTTTTACCAGTCTATGGGCAACAATACTGGATCCGTGGTTTGTCTTTGTAAATTTAATACAGTTTTAGCAACTATGCTAAAAATGTGTACCGGTACATTTAGATGTGTATATTTTTTCACAGTGGAGGTCAAGGTTGTTAATGCCTGATGATATTGAGGTTATAGGTTAAATTCAAGACCAAATATATGGAAATTATCTTTATCGTTCCATGCAGCCTTCCATTCGTAATAGTTTCTAGGAGGAAGTCCAGTCTGACAATTCATATATTCAGAATGCCCAGTTTTTATATGCAGGTCTGCATGTGCACATGCATGCCAGATTCTCTGGTGCTCTATGTACCAGTCAAAAGATGCAAAGAGGAATTCGGTTGGCCAGAAATAGTCAGTACAGGGGGGTTCTCTGGTGGCACAGAGCTGGCTCCAGTACCAGCCACCTCCTTACCCTAGTGTAAGGGGAAGGTGGGGAAGGGAGAGACCTCATGAGTTAAAGTTGCTTTCTCATTGGGTCATTAGTGCAGGATCAGGGAGCAGGAATTGTTTCCCTGTGGCCTCTCCTCTCCACTGCTGCTGAGTTCATGCAAAGTGGTGGAGAATCCGTCTCTCAATGATCCTGTTTTAATTTTTAAGGGGCCCGATCCTGTGCAGAGCTGACTACCTTTAGTGAGGTACAGAGCATCCTCGACTCCCACTGATGTTAGCCCACTGCATTTGGTGCTCAGTCCCTCACAGGGTTGGGCATTAAAAGGACACCGGTAACTTGAAATGCACAATTCTCTCACAATGTTTTACCTGTTATTGCTACCTGTATCTACTAAGATTAATACAATTGAAAGAGACTGGGGCATTTTACTCATTTTGTTTTCAGTGTATTTGTTGCAGCAGCATTTTGTGCATAGCCAATTGTGCTGTGTTGTTGATGGTGCATGCCTTTTTACAAGCCCTGCAATAGTCGGTGTTTACCAGCAGTAGAGCCGAAAATGAAACTATGGGGTCGTAGGCTCACTTAAAAGACCCTTCCAACAGGCGAGAGGAGTAGAAAAGCCCCGAACAATTTTTTCTTAAAGGAATTTTTTTAAAAATTGGCACTATGAGTAATGTGTTTCTGTTAGCAAACTGTATTGTTTTGAGTCAACTTCAGAAGATTCAAGTTGACAGGGTCCCTTTTAGCTCATGTATTGGACATTTTTTCTAAATATATTAAATATTTTAGGAAGAGATCACTAGCACACAAAGCTGTTAGTGGGATGTTTAATTACATAGAACTTATATCACCTTGGTTTCACCCATTGTTCTAACACCAACGTGAGAGGACATGAAAAATGTGGAGAAATCAACCACGAGGAGCTTAGTGATTCCAACCCTTATGATTGTATTGTGAGTTTCACAATATTTAGTGTTTACCTTAGAGCCCCAGCTCTGGCAGGTTCTAACTGGGTGAGAATTTCAGCTTTTATATTTTAAAACGTAAGTTTCTACCTCTCATGGTTGCAGATAAAAGTTTGAAAATGTGACCCAAATGCACCCTAAAGGCTCAGAAACCAGATGGCAAATAAAAGCTCATGGCTTTTTGGGGAGGCCTGACTCTTGATTTTTGAATGGCTGAAGCTGGCAATACCACTAGTTTGGCAGGGAGGTAACGAACATGAATTATAAACATTTTTAGAATGCTGTACATGTACATATCAAGATATTATTTGGTCTGCCTTTATTCTCTGATCTCTTTCAGGTAATATAGGAGGAAACAGAAAGAAAATCAGAGGCAAAAAATATAGGCCACGGTCTAATTCAACTGAGTAAGTCGACCCTTTAACAGCAAAGCAGAAAAGAACAGCTTACAAACTAATGCTACTTTCATTTACATTGAGCATTTTAAAGTAGAAACTACAGATGTCCCCTGTGGCTCACTCAAAGTACTGACTGGTAAATGGTTTAACAAAGGTGTTTTTAATCTCTTTTTACTTTTTAAAAAACAATTAATTATTACTTTTCTTCTTCGCAGTCAGACCTATAGTAAACCCCACCGGGGGTGACAGGCTTTTGTCTACTGTAAACTGCCATTGTTGAGTGTGTCCTGTTCAAGTAGTGAATTTCAGATAACGTATTTTCCTTCCTTTGCCCTCACCCCAGATGGAACCACTTCAGAGGACACTGGTCCTCCTGGGGACACACTTTCCTATCTCTGAATCCCCACCCAGAGGTTTTAGGAAAAGAACCTAACTGTGCTTTGAGGACACATTTACAGTTTAGTGCTCTAAGCCATCATGTTTGACCCGGAATATCTTCTCAAACCACTGGGATCAGAACATAATGAGACTGTCCATGCACAATCTTTGATACAATGCCCACTGAGGTCAATGTAAGTCTTTTCATTGACTTCAATAGGCTTTCGATCTGATCCAGTAAGGGAAAAATAGAGAAATGGGCATGTATGTATTAATTTAAACAAATAAGAATTGAGCTCATTTGTAAAACTGTCATACATGTACAAGCTTCACATAGACAGTTACAGAATTATTAGATTTGCTTTCTTGCCTTCTTTGTTTTTTTAATTTATTGAATAGGCCCATATTTGCTATTCTTCTTGTGAGAAATACTCCATATTATCTGTGTCTACTTAGTTAGACCCCTTATCTGAAAGGATGGTGAATAGGTGGAACCGTAACCTCTAGGCTTGTCAAACATTTTCCATTAGGCTTCCTTTGTCATTACTGTGCCATTTAAGAATTTATAATTCTCTACCCTGACAGAAATGATTATTCCCTCTCCCCATGTCATCAGTACTAATGTATCTCCCATACTGGCAGAAGAGTTTGATACCAGACCTGCTGGAAGCTAATAGATTAAAAAATGTTATCAAAGCTAATGTTAAAAAAATTATATAATACATAGGTTGAGAAAAGAGTATCTGTACATCTGGGTATAGTGCTTAGACTATCCACAAATACAAAGTTTGTTTTTAAAAGTCATATGATACACGGAGTACATAATCAGCAATAACCCAAATGTAGGTGAATAGATTTAACAATACAGTTTAGATATTAGAATCCGAATACTCGGGTACATCACTCTTGAAAAGTTATACAGAGATTTGGTTGTGGAAAGCAAAATATATCAATGAGTGGAGATTGTCCCTCAGTAATTGAGAATTAGGTAGGTTGTCCATTTAGAAAATACAATCCATGAGGAAAGTATTTCAGTAACTTTCCTGACTGTGCTTCTCATCGGCCCTCCAGGTATTGAGTACCGCCTGGTATTGCCGATGATACTACTAGATTTTCTGTGGGCCTGGCCTTTTTCAGCTAAAGGATTTTGAGTTTGTTCCAAAACTTGAGTATTCCAAGTTCAATATACATTTGTTGCATACATAGTTTCCAAAGGTTCACATAGATGAGTCTTTGCTACAAATTACAAACATTAATAGTTTGAGACATTTAATAGCTACAACATTGCATGGTTAAAAATGGCAGTACAAAACCAGTAACATTATTCTTAAATCCCTTGGAGGAGTTTAACTTTCAAGTGACTGCAGCATCCCTGTCCCCTTGGTCTTAATGCTGATAAACTCTTATTGGAATGCTGATTGTTTGGTTTTCTTCCTTTGCATGAGACAATTTGATAAGAGCAAATTAGCCTGGTTGACTAACCTGCTCAGAGTGCAGATGAGATTGCAAGTTCTTCTTTCGAAACTTGTTTTGTGCTCTCTTTCATTTTTTGACTTTTATTTCTGAAGACAAGGCTTAAAAACATAGCACCAAATTCAGGTCTGGCATAACTCTGTTACAGTCAATGGTGCTGTGTCTGCTTAACCAGGGCTGAATTTGGCCTATAGAGAACAGATAAACTTTTTTACTCTAACATTAACCTATCACCTGGGAAGAGAATTGTATTTCTAGTGAAGGTTAAAGAGCAGAAAGCATCTTCTCCCCTGGTCTGTGATGCTTAGCTTGTGTATTTAAAATACCTGAGAACTTCGGGATAAATAAATAAATGAGAATGAATCAATAGCGAGGATCACAGTAACTTAAAAACCTGTCTTGGTCTGTATCATTTTCTCTTTTTAATGTGACCTATAATTTCTGCCATATCTAATTCTCTCATTTCCTCCCTGCTGCTGAGTATAGTGTAAGCAGAAATGGTAACAGTCAGAGGCAGCACCTGGTGCTGAAAAGTAAGTCTCAGACTTCTGTTACAGAGGGCAGAGCAGCAACCTATAAGGGGGTGGCACAGAGCATCTGTGTTCCTGAAATATACTTGCTAGACTACGTGGGCTGGGAAGACACCCTTTCCCCTGAAGGTGTCTGCTTTGGGGATGGGTGAGAGAGGTTGGTGATTGCAAAGACTCCTTATCAAGAGTCTGGTCTGCAAGAAGATCAGCCACGAGGAGAGCAGGTTTCACAGGCTACAAAACTGGATCCTCCCAAGCAACACTTCTGCAGTGAAGAGAGGAGAGAATTGTATGGGGGGGGTCACACATAGGGTATAATTAGAAATATGAAATCACATTTTGAACAGAACTGACAAGGAATGATCTGTTACTGTGACCAAAACATTTGTTGTTTGTTTTAACAAAAATATGATGCCAGCTGCTTTTAGGGTGCCTTAGGGTTCATGCAATATTTTCAAGACAAATTCACCTCATTAACTTCTCAGGTAAATGTGGAAGAACCTTAATAAAATATATCCTGAGACAATGGATAATAGCGATTGGAATATTTCCTATGTGACATCTGGGAGCTGAATAGTGCACACAGTGAAAAGAAAATAATAAGGTGCCAAACTATTGTCTCAAATAAGTAAACAAGATCCACTGTAAATTAACCCATTATGAGTCTGATTTGTGCCATACTCTGAATGTGTGCAGAATTCAAGCATTTGCACAGGAAGCTACCAGATGTGCATTTACACACACATACCTGATTTATGCATATATTTGCAGTGACTGCATGCACTAATTAGGTGCACTGTTTTGTGTGCACAGTTGTGCAACTGATTGGAAATTGGCCCACAAATTAAACTGTTAGTTTCCTCTGAATTTCTGAAGCATTGGGTAGGGTTTCAGCCATATGCTCTCATTAGTATTACTATGGGATGCACATAGCAAGCGTCTCATGCAATTCCTGAAAAACATACCAGGCATTATTTTGTGTGTGCCTTGAAATCTAACAGATTGTTTCTTGGTTGATGTAAGGCTCCTGATAAATGTCATAGCTCTACCTAGACACTTACAACTATTTTTGTCAGTTTTTAATTGCTTCCAGATGAGTCAAAAAAACCCTTGGGAATTTTTATTTAATGAAGTCAGGTGGTTCACTCCATACAGAGAAAATGTTGACTAACAGGGCCAGCATGTTCTTCCAAAGTTTCTACAACAGAATTGATTGAGTGGTCTGATAAAGTAATAGTTTTCTGTTAAAATCAATGAGTATTATTCAAGAAAGCTAATACAGACTTTCCGAATATCCTGACAATAAAATGGAGATGTGTTAAAACATGTCCTAGTAAGATGTGTTTTGCCAATTAGCAGTACTGGTTCTCTTTGTTAATTCTGTTAATCTAAGTGTGCATCTTCCTCATTGTTATAATTGATATAAACATGATTTGGCTTAGATTTTTCTATTATATATTGTGTTTTTGCAGCAGGGTAACCCATGTATCTGAGCCTGGGCTTTCTCTCGCCCACCAAATCCCAACCCAAGGCATAAGCCAAGGGGGTTCTCACCACCCCCATACAGGGAATCGGGATCACAGGTCAGTTTCACCTGCTCCTTCATTCTGGGCTGCCATTTTTATCCCATGAAAAGTCCCTTCCCCTGAGTATTCAGTAGTCTCACTGTGGCAAAACACTTTTGACCGCTTGGAGGTGCTCCTGCTGATGCAGCGCTAGCTCAGCCCTCCTCCTTGCCAGCCTGAGGTGTGAGATCACTCTTGAACCTGGGTCTTCTGCATTATTGCATGTTGCGCTACAAGCCAGATCAAGCCATTGGTCTAGTTTTAGCTTAGATTTAATGACAGATTTATTCCAAATAAGAATTTATCATTCAAAGTAATTTTGGATTTCAATGATGACTGATGCACAGATGACTACAAAAATCAGTCTGAGAGCTTTCTCCTGATATAATTTAGTGGTCTGCAGTGACATCATATAAACCTGTCTATATGCAGATTGGTGGGAAGGAATGGAAGTTACCTGTATGTAACTGCGCCTCGGAAGCTCACAAACATTATTGTATAACAACTGCATGCTTTGTTGCCACATTACATTTTATTTTCTACTTTAAAAAGATAGATCAGGAGTGTTTCATGGTTATCCAAAGACCTCTTCAGATAAAAAGTGCAGGTTAAAAGGACTGCAGCTCTGGCTGACTCGCCAGGGAATCCATAGCTACATCAGCAGCTAAAACTGTAACAGCAGGTCCAAACGATACCGGCGCCAGCCTGTTGATTTGCTAGCACTTCATCTGTGGCTGCACCACAGCTTAAAACTTCCACTTTTGACGAAGAAGCCAGGTTGGAAAGCATAAAGCACTACTGATTTCACTCGTCTGTAATTAAGACAGACAAGTTGGAGGCAACTGCGGCTGGGGGCGAATACTTTTTGAAAGCTGTGGCTGTGCTTATGCGGGGCAGGGAGACGACGTTCCAGAACAAAAAAAGGAGGTCTAAGGAGGTTTTTTTAAAACAACAACCTGCGACAGGTTTTAGACTTTGACATGGTTTGGAATATTGTAGAACACTGCGTTGTGGTTTCAAAAAAAGAAAAAGAAAAACTTTCCTGTCCTGTTCTCGTAAAATCAATCCCTTGAGGAAACAGTTCACTCATGAGATCAGTGGACTGCTCACATGAATAAGAGCTGTGGGATCTGACCCAAAGGTATTTATAGTAATTGAAAAAAGAATATTTGCATTTTTGTTGTTACATTTCATTTACTGTTTCAGATTGTGTTGATCCCTATTATATAAATGCAGTGATATAAATAACTGTTACACCATTGTGATTGTTATACCAGAAATGCAGAATGTAAATTGCACCAAACCAGTTGTGCAGTGTCTACATCCCATTTTATTGTTAACACTACAAAGGGAGAAGAGGAAAGGTTTCAGTACAATTAAGTGAACTTCCTATTGGTGGGCAAGGGAAGTTAGTTACAAAACAACTGTCTTTACCTGTTGTAATATTACTGCTAACCATGGAATAAAATAACAATAGTTTGTGTGTAACTTAAACACATACATGGGGTTTTTTAAGTGGTTCTTTTGCTAATCAAGGTTTCACAGGGTAAAATATCAGATCAATTATACAGCCCTCTTTGCAATTTTATCAGATCACACAAAATTATTAAAACCAATTTTTGTTCACAATATAGTTGTAAAGAAATTACCAGAGGTGGCAAAAAGAGCATTTTAAATGGTGAGGTTGAAATTCATCCATGTACAGAGGGCCAGCCCAAAGTCTCTGCAGCACTTAAGGCCTCATTCCTGCAATTCATTCCAGCTGGGTAGATCGCCTGCTCTCACAGAGAGTAAATTGCAGGACAGGAGCCAAAATCTCATCATGTCACTACTTTGAGGACGTAAGAGGTGCATTTACCTTGTGATCATTCCTGGCCCTCTGCATAGAGGTAAATTTCACCCTTAGGAAATTAAATGAATAATGTGTCCTCAACAATTTCCAGATTAATTGAACTTGAGCCTTGTTGTAGTTCAAATTTTCTCATGCAGTTGTACACATTGCCTACTCCTCACCCAACATCCATACTGATTTATTTGCCATACTCACTTGCATTTTGGGGACGAAGACATCCTTGCTGAGCTTGTGCTGTGTGTTCTCAGATTTTCTATTCTTCTTGTTCTTCTGCCTTCTCTGTTCCTTCCATTGCTTTCTGCAGGTATTTAAATCCCTGGTTCAAAAGAGAATATAATGTAGCTAAGTGGGTAGAAGATGTGAATAAAAACACTGAAGGACCATACTTTAGGTATTTTGTAAATTAATTCTATATCATTTGTAAGAGCTGTTCCAGCATATATAAATATGTTGGGATTCCTATCTTGTATATATCAGTACAAGTTACTGTAGGTGCAAAGGGCCCCTTGTTCATTTGCTGCCTTTTGGTGTCTTTTTTTTTCTTTTTTTGGCTTCATGTGCAATTCCAGTTGTTTTTCTGAATGTTTTAATGAAGCCATTGAAAGGGGTGTTTGTAGTGCATGCATTCCCACCATCATCTATAGCTTTTAGTAGCTTTCTCCTCATTTTATGCCAAGTAGTGTTTTATGGGCATGAGACGTATTTACCACTAATAAAATAGTTTTAACCTAAATAGGATTTCATTTACTGAAACAAGTGATCTCAAAACACATTTATTCTTCCCACTGTCTATATAGTGCATACTAAACTTCAATGAAAAGAAAAAGAATAAAATGTAATGGAATTTTACCTTAAAAATACAATGGGGATGAAATAATTAACATGACCAGAATTAAAAATGAGAAATATGACACTACATTCTGCACTGGGAAGATCTAACTACCTAGTGTATCTGGTACAAATGAGTGTAGGGTTCTACTGAAAATACTTATTTTTAAAGAGAAAATTGTGAATTTAGTGCCAAGTAAACAGAAAAACTAAGTCAGCCTCCATCTTGCACCTGAATAATGAAACTTTGATTCTTCATACAATTCTCAGTTTCCCCCATTCCCAGGTTAGGGGCAAAGATAGCTTTAAGCCACTGTTTTGTCTAGTGTATGGAGGAGCCATATGGTTGCTTTAACTTATGCTCTGCTTCCTATGGCCCCTGTAGGCTCCAGGAAGTAGAGAATATGCCCCATCCCCTAGCCCACCCCAAAACACTTGCCCGCCCCAAAACACCCACTATTCTGGGGCCTGGAAGCAAGGTCAGGGTGCTTACACCAGTTCTATAAACCAAGTCCCCTTGCACAGGAGGTATTATGAGGGGCACATTTCTGCTCCCTTTGTACAAACAGTGGCATAAAGGAACTGTAGTAAAACTGATAATCAGGCCCCAAACCTCTCTCTGTATTTGAGAACTAGCTCCTAGTTTTCAACAGCACAGTATAAAAGAATGAAGCAGACACAATCTGTGGAAATGTGAGAAGACATTTAATTTGCTAATCCCACAGTGCTTTGGAAAGAGCTGTTCTTGTTTGTGAGCCGTATCATGTGCTGTTAACATGATTGGATCTCTGCAGTGCGTTAGAAATGAAGTGTTCAGTGAATACCCCATCCACCAAAAATGAATACAGAAACTTTTAAAAAAGGCAGGTGAACTCAGAATCCCACAATTATACTTTTAGTATTTTAAATGATAGCTGTGAATTATTTCCATTACATCATCTACATGTTACTTAGAACAGCTACATTTTGAAAATGCAAAAAGATATTTGTAGAGGCAAAAGATCCATCTGAAGTACCCTACTGCATATCTTTTCATTAAAAAAAGAACTGGATGCTCTTAGCAACTTAGTAGCATTAGAACTTTTATCTCATAATTACTGTAGCTTCAAACTGTAATGATTTAGATTAAGTTAATCCCTGAGCCAAAATTTGGCTTCAAATACCTGAAGTCTCTTGGAATTGAATGTGTGTATCTGAGGACAATCTGTCTAGGAATATGCTCTTTCACACCTTTCCCCCCACCCCCTAAAGAGTTAGGGACTAGTTATATAATTTTAAGAACTACTGAAGTGCTTTGGCAGAAAGGTACACATTAAATGTCACAGCACTTTTCTGCACAACTTTCCAGTTCAGCAGTAGCTCCAGATTAAATTCCTTAGGAAACCATCTAGAAGAAACAGAAATATGCTGACTACTGGTGTACTTATCAAAATGTAGTGGAAGCCTGCAACTTCAGCAGACCAAGGCATTGATGAAACACAAAAATTGCACAGTTTAATTAACATACTTTATTTAAATCAGTTTAGTTAAACTGTGCAGCCCCCTGCATGGACATTTCCTTTGGTTTTTGTATCTACTTATATTGATTTAGCTTAACTGGGAAACTGGTTGAAATTGACTTAAGTTTAAACCCACTTAGCAATTTGCAACACTTCACTAAATCAATTGTAATAAACTATTTTAGTTAAACTGGTGCTTCTTCTCAGACACAAGAAAGACATTATTACTACTAAGGATACTTTGTTTAAAAATCACACAGCAGCTTTCTAAGCTCTTAAATATACGATATTTTAAAAGAAATTTTTGAACAAAATAACCGTGCAAAACTTCAGAAAAATGACCAAAGATAGTGGCTTATAGTATAAAGTGTAGGCTTGGGGGAAAAAACACTAATGAATTAATTGTTTCAAGGGCCTATTTTATAACTCAAGTGGTTTCAAGAAAAACGCCATCTTATGGTTGGCTTTAGAAACCATGATCCAAGAATCCAAGAGGAGAGGAAAGTGATCAGAAACTGTCAGCATGGATTCACCAAGGGCAAGTCATGCCTGACTAACCTAATTGCCTTCTATGATGAGATAACTGGCTCTGTGGATGAGGGGAAAGTGGTGGATGTGTTATTCCTTGACTTTAGCAAAGATTTTGATATGGTCTCCCAAAGTATTCTTGCCAGCAAGTTAAAGAAGTATGGGCTGGATGAATGGACTGTAAGGTGGATAGAAAGCTGGCCAGATTGTCGGGCTCAACGGGTAGTGATCAATGGCTCCATGTTTAGTTGGCAGCAGGTATCAAGTGGAGTGCCACAGGGGTTGGTCCTGGGGCCGGTTTTGTTCAATATCTTCATAAATGATCTGGAGGATGGTGTGGATTGCACTCTCAGCAAGTTTGCAGATGACACTAAACTTGGAGGAGTGGTAGATACGCTGGAGGGTAGGGATAGGATACAGAGGGACCTAGACAAATTGGAGGATTGGGCCAAAAGAAATCTGATGAGGTTCAACAAGGACAAGTGCAGAGTCCTGCACTTAGGATGGAAGAATCCCATGCACCGCTACAGACTAGGGACTGAATGGCTCGGCAGCAGTTTTGCAGAAAAGGACCCAGGGGTTACAGTGGATGAGAAGCTGGATATGAGTTAACTGTGTGCCCTTGTTGCCAAGAAGGCCAATGGCATTTTGGGATGTATAAGTGGGGCATTGCCAGCAGATCGAGGGACATGATCATTTCCCTCTATTCGGCATTGGTGAGGCCTCATCTGGAGTACTGTGTCCAGTTTTGGGCCGCACACTACAAGAAGGATGTGGAAAAATTGGAAAAAGAGTCCAGCGGAGGGCAACAAAAATGATTAGGGGGCTGGAACACATGACTTATGAGGAGAGGCTGAGGAAACTGGGCTTGTTTAGTCTGTGGAAGAAAGAATGAAGGGGGGATTTGATAGCTGCTTTCAACTACCTGAAAGGGGGTTCCAAAGAGGATGGATCTAGACTGTTCTCATGTGTACCAGATGACAGAACAAGGAGTAATGGTCTCAAGTTGCAGTGGGGGAGGTCTAGGTTGGATATTAGGAAAAACTTTTTCACTAGGAGGCTGGTGAAGCACTGGAATGCGTTACCTAGGGAGTTGGTAGGATCTCCTTCCTTAGAGGTTTTTAAGGTCAGGCTTGACAAAGCCCTGGCTGGGATGATTTAGTTGGGGTTGGTCCTGCTTTGAGCAGGGGATTGGACTAGATGACCTCCTGAAGTCTCGTCCAACCCTGATATTCTCTGATTCTAAGAATGAAGACAGTTAATACAGAATAATACTTTTTGGTAGTTGTTTCATTTGTGCTCTCTTTTAAAGAAAGCTGAAATGAACACAGCTGTTTTGTTTACTTCCCTGTTTCTACGCTACCCTCAGTGATGTCAGCATAGTTCTGGGAATAGTGTGTTAAGTGCTGTTGTTGACACCAGCAGAGGGAAGATAGAATCACAAAACATTGATAACTGCCGAACTATGAGGTTGAAGATTTTCAGAAAACAGAGCATTGTGAGGACTTCCCCCAGCAGACTTCAAAAAAAATGTTAAAAAGTTGGCCCTAGGTTACCTATAGTGGCCTGTTGACCTATTTACTGAACCTTTTCCACAGGGGAGTCAAGTTTGTGTGTATATACATAGATATAATTACTCTTAATGGTTAAAAATCAAAGCTGGCCTTTCTGGTCCCACAAAGCACCCAGCTGTGGGTTCCCCAAATAGGAGAGACCAAGAACTGTAAAGGAGAATTTCATCTGTCACTTACAATCTAGCCCTTCCTTTTATTGTATATGTACAATCTGTGTAAGGGGCAGCATATTGCTGCACAGCCCCAGCAGTGGACAAAGCAGGGAAATAGCTTCCCTGGCTCCTGGCCTTGCTCCAGGGAGAGAGGAGTCTGCTACTGGTCTTACACTAGAGGCAGACTACTTGTCCCTTTCATGCCAGCTCTGTGCCTACTACTGCAGTTTCTCCTGAAAGTAACCTTTTGAACAGTGATCAAGAACTACTTGCAGGCCTCACTGAGGCAAGCCTGGCTCTCAGGATTGCGATGGTATCATTAGAATGTGAACTGTCAAAGCCTTAAGTATGCCAGTCCCATAGATTTATTTGTGCATGAGTGATGCAAAGGGTCCCTCTGAAACACCGAGCTACCCGAGTTTGAGTTACTGCAAATATTTACAGTAATAGGAAGTAGTTTACAGAGAAACAAGATTTTCAAGGTGAAAACCCAGACACTTGTCTCGAGGGAGATGGTGGAGGGAGGAGGGTCGGGTGGAGGACGAGTTTCAGGAGGGATGGAGGGGAAGGGAGAATAAGTTTTCCATTCCCCTCTCATATTTTTCTGCTTTGTTTGCTTTTTCCTGTTCTGCGCTTTCTCCTCTGCTCCTTCTCAGCTTGCCACCTAAACCAGCTTTAACTCTGCTTTGCGTCACCAGTTCTAACCTCGAATTTCCAAGTTTTTACCCCACCATCCGTTGCCTTTGTGTGTGAGCACATCTCTGACAGGTCATAGTCACACAGGGCCACCGGGCTCATTTTCTCCCTGTT